CCATTTCGGCGCACGTCCCTGCAGGAGGGGGTGGCTGCGCCGCATTGGACGCGCTCTCCGGCGCCTTTGCTGCTGTGGGAGAACCGCGGAGAGGGACTAATTTTGTACCTGGATTATTTATACATTTTGTACTCTTTGTAATTATTAATATTTATATTGTATGTACGGGGGCAGTCCTTGACTTACGAACGGGATACGTTCCTGAGACTCGTTCATAATTCGAATGGTTCGTAATTGCACATGAGGCCAGTGTTATAAAATGTGATGATCTTCTTGGTTCTTTCGGTAAATAATAAAATAATAAATAAAAAACACATAATAAATAATTATTTTATTATGTTTTATTTTTATTACTTTATTATTTCCCTTCTACGTGACTTTACCGAAAGAACCAAGAAGATGAATCCCTGCAGTCACGAAAGCTTTAAATCGAAATTTAAATGTGATGATGTTCAATAAAACATAGATAAACATTGTTATACTCATGAATATGGAATATTGTAAATTTGTATGTAATACTGTGATAAGTACTGTATAATAATAAGCTTAATTGTGCGCCCGGGTTATTTATACATCTTATAATGACTTTTTAATAATAATAATTACGTGTACATATAACATAGATCTTAGCGAACGGTATTGTGCTTAACATCGTTATTGTGTGTTGTTGCTTTTGCAATATGTTTATAAATGCATTGGTGATACTGACTTTGGCTACCGCGTGGTTTTTGACGCTGCTGCTCCTGCTGCCAATGATAGCTCTGCTCGGTCACCCGCTCAGACGGCACAGCTGCGACTCACAACTTGCCCGGGTTCGTTAATGCAGCGGAAAGGTCAAGGTGCATGCCAATTTGATAAACACACGCTCATGGTGATGCATTTGTAACGGGTTCCAGAGACACTTGTAGAGGTAACTTCTTTATTACAATCCAACAGCACAACAGTCCAACAGTCCTGATACTCTGTAACAGCTCCCAGGTACACAGCCTAGGTACACAGCCTAGATACACTACTCTGGCTACGCTCTGGAACTCGCCCTCACAAGGTCGTAGAGTCGGGAGTTCCAGAGTCCCACCACTGGCTCTCACAGCGTCCCAGGGTCCTCCGATGGCTGGTCGTGGGTCTTGGGTCTTGAGCTACGACTGGCCCTGATCGTCCAGGGAGCTCCCCTTTTATGCCTAGTCCCCAACGAGGGGTGGGGCCGTGTGCGCCCCAGATCTCCCACAGAGCACACACAACCCCCCCCCCCCTTTGGCGGCGCCAAGGCTTAAGCGCCTGGGCCACCCGGGAACCCAACGCCTGACGCCAAGAGGCTTAAGCATCTGACCCGCCTGGGAACCCACGCCTGGCGCCAAGAGGCTTAAGCGCCTGGCCCGCCCAGGGTCCCAGAGCCCCCAGCAGCCCCTCCCTTCTTATGTCACTACGCATTTACCCATAGAATACAATTTCGTGACCATCAAATTTCGATTTAAAGCTTTCGTGACTGCAGGGATTCATATGCTTGGTTCTTTCAGTAAAGTCACGTAGAAGGGAAATAATAAAATAATAAAAATAAAGCATAATATAATACAATTCTCACGACGTTTCGGCCACAACACAAGCAGCCGTCCTCAGGTGAAAAAACAAAGCTGTCGAAAAGACGGCGTCCCAATGAACACTGCTAAGCTTGGAAGCGTATTTTTAAGCTGGGTGGGAGGAGCAGAGCGCCTTGACAAAGGAATTTACACATCAACAGAGGAATTTAGCATATTGACGCTATATAACTGCAATTACCACTATTACCATACAATAAACCGATGTGAAAAAAATAAATATAAACTATACTCTTAGTTCTTTCGGTAAAGTCACGTAGGTACAAAATTAAAAATAAAAAGAATAGGAAAAAAATATTAATAAAATATTTAATTATTTTCTCTATTAAATATATTACTTATTTTTACCATTTTATTTCTATTATTATTTCTATTAAATATTTTTTTTATTATTTTGTTTATATTGTTTTTATTATTTATTTTTTACCTACGCGACTTTACCGAAAAAACCTACGAGTATGAATCCTTGCAGTCACGAAAGCTTCAAATCTAGAATAAATATAAACTACATCAATTTAATCAACGTACTCAATATACTTTCCAATAAGCTGAGCTATTCACATGAAGTAACTGGGTTGACACTACACTAGCTTATTGGAGAGTATATTGAGTATATTGATTGGGAAGATCATGTGGGTGGACGCTCGGCAGGATGGAAGAAGGAGAGACCTGAGGCTCCCCGTCACGTGGAGGCTCTTGCTACTGCTGGCAGGAGGGGGAGCAGGAGGTCACGGGGCAGACGCAGCAGTTACAGGTTGACTCGAGACCAGGGGCGGTTTCTTCATTAGGGCGATTGGGCGACGCACCACCAATCTCAGCCGTTACTGTGCCTCTGGATATAGTCCAATCAGCGTCATGTCACGTTCTGTGGAGTACCGCCTCTTTTTGGGCGATTTCACTCTGGCTGAGAATCGCCCAGAGTGTTCCCATAGACTTACATTCAAAGATGTTTTTTTCGAACGGCAGGCGCTGCAATGCATTCTCTATGGCTTCCGGGAGGGCTCGCACTAACGTGCTTACGTCATCATACGTAAGCACGTTTCAGTCAACAATATTATTTGTCGCCACCTAGTGGAATCTTGAATAAAAGAAACTGAGTGGATTGTAATAATAGTGAGTATAGAAACAAACAAGGAGATGTATTGTAAGAGTCACTTTATTTTTCATTAATATTAAAGAAGTGAAGTTGCCTTTACATGCTTAAGCTGTTAATTTATCCATTGCATGGGTGTACCTTATCCTTTTCAATCATCCAGACATTTGCCCCCCCTGAGAGATTTTGCAGGAGCCGCCACTGCTCGAGACATAAAACTAACATCTTCACTAACCTGCTTCAGTTGCCCCCCTTAAGACAACCGCCATCTTTTCTACCCTAGCCAATCCAGCTACCGCTACTCCCTGCCCCAGCCTCCCAGCTACGACAAGGCCCACCGCAAGACGTATCATTACCGCAACACCCTATCACACCTCAACGCGTATCCCTGTAACTACCCCTATTCCTCCCTATCTCAGTCAAGACCAGGTCTACCCAAACCCCTATCACCACCCCAACCCCTATCGCCATCACCTCAATTCCTATGACTACCTCTGCCCCAGCCGCAACCAGGCCTAACCACAACCTCTATCACTTCCCCAACCCGTCCTTAACCACTCGCGCTTGTTCTACTATCACCGTAACTACACCACGACCTTTAAATACATATCCGCACTCTTTTTAATTCAACTGCTATCATCTCAGGTACGATGTTATGATTGCTGTACAACGCATTTGTATTAAGGCGCTATATGAACCTCATGGCGGTAACCCGGGGTACCATAGTACCCCGGCTCCCGCACAATGTCCGTGATGCAGTCATTTATAGTCTGTTGATAGTCGGCAACGCGGCAATCGACTCATCTCGACGAGTTGTACACTACGATGCACTGCTACGGTGCGTACCGCGAGCGTTCAGAATTTCGGCGCAATCGTCCTCGCTGCGTTTCGACATCGCGAGTGGCACCGATTTCGGATTGATTGGTATCCCAGTCGCGGAGTTTAAGTACACCCCTGGGAAAAAATAGTGTCCCAGAAAACACATTCCTGTGGAGGGAGCTGGTAGGAACGGTCAATGGCCTGCAGGGTCAACGGCGGCGTGGTGTATTCTGCAAATATGTTCGACTGTGAGGGCGGGCACAAGCCGGCGTGAGTAGGTTAAACGTTGAGTTTTATAAGGGCACCACGGGGTGACCAGCCCCTCCCCACCCAGCCCCACCCCTCCCACCCCCCACCCAGCCCCACCCTCCCCACCCAGCCCCTCCCCACCTTGCCCCACCCCTCCCACCCCCCACCCAGCCCACCCCCTCCCTAGTAAGTGGGTGAGTGTGAGGGGTGAGTGAGAGGGGGTCAGTGAGAGGGGTGAGAGGGGGAGAGGGGGTGAGCGAGAGGGGGTGAGTGAGAGGGGTGAGTGTGAGGGGGGGGGAGTGTGCGGGGGTGAGTGTGAGGGGGTGAGTGTGCGGGGGTGAGTGTGAGGGGGTGAGTGTGAGAGGGTGAGCAAGGGGGGTGAGGAAGCGGGTGAGTGTGAAGGGGTGAGTGAGAGGGAGTGAGTGTGAGGAAGGGGGTGACTGAGAGGGGGTGAGTGAGGGGGGTGGGAGTGTGAGGGGTGAGTGTGAGAGGGTGAGTGAGCTGTGAGGGAGGGGGTGAGTGAGAGGGTGAGTGTGAGAGGGTGAGTGTGAGGGGGGTGTGAGTGTGAGGGGGTGAGGAAGCGGGTGAGTGAGAGGGGTGAGTGTGAGAGGGTGAGCGTGAGGGGGTGAGTAAGAGGGGGGGGGGTGTGAGGGGGGGGTAGAGGGTGAGAGAGGAAGTGAGGGAGGGGGTGAGGGGATGGGTGAAGGGTGAGGGGAGGGTGAGGGGTTAGGGGTGAGGGGTGAGGGGAACGGGGTGAGGGGAGGGTGAGGGGAGGGTGAGGGGAGGGGTGGGGGAGGGGAGGGGTGAGGGGAGGGGTGAGGAGGGGTGAGGGGGAGGGGTAGGGGAGGGGTGAGGGGAGGGGTGAGGGGAGGGGTGAGGGGAGGGGGTGAGGGGAGGGGTGAGGGGAGGGGTGAGGGGGAGGGGTTTGAGGGGAGGGGTGAGGGGTGAGGGGGGAGGGGTGAGGGGAGGGGGGTGAGCGGGGTGAAGGGAGGGGTGAGGGGAGTGAGGGAGGGGGGGTGAGGGGTTAGGGGGGTGAGGGAGGGGTGAGGGGAGGGTGAGGGGAGGGGTGAGGGGAGGGGTGAGGGGAGGGGTGAGGGGAGGGGTGAGGGGAGGGGTGAGGGGAGGGGTGAGGGGAGGGTGAGGGGTGAGGGGGGAGGGGTGAGGGGAGGGGGGTGAGCGGGGTGAGGGGAGTGAGGGGAGGGGGGTGAGGGGAGGGGTGAGGGGGGGTGAGGGGGGAGGGGTGAGGGGGGAGAGTTTGGATACGGAACTGAGGGCCCAGCTCGAAGCGGCGGGGAGCGTACGAGAGTGGTGAGTTTACAAGTGTGAGTGTGTGTACGAGTGTGAGTGTGTGTACAAGTGTGAGTGTGTACGAGTGTGTGTACGTGTGTACGAGTGTGAGTGTGTGTACGAGTGTGAGTGTGTGTACGAGTGTGAGTGTGTGTATGTGTGTACAAGTGTGAGTGTGTGTACGAGTGTGGTGAGTCTCTGTATGTGTGTACAAGTGTGAGTGTGTGTACAAGTGTGAGTTTGTGTACAAGTGTGAGTGTGTGTACAAGTGTGAGTTTGTGTACAAGTGTGAGTTTGTGTACAAGTGTTAGTGTGTGTACGAGTGTACAAGTGTGTGTACGAGTGTGAGTGTGTGTACGAGGGTGGTGAGTTTACAAGTGTGAGTGTGTGTACGAGTGTGAGTGTGTGTACAAGTGTGAGTGTGTGTACGAGTGTGAGTGTGTGTACGAGTGTGTGTACGTGTGTACGAGTGTGAGTGTGTGTACGTGTGTACGAGTGTACAAGTGTGAGTGTGTGTACGAGGGTGAGTGTGTGTATGTGTGTACAAGTGTGAGTGTGTGTACGAGGGTGAGTCTCTGTATGTGTGTACGAGTGTGAGTGTGTGTACAAGTGTGAGTGTGTGTATGTGTGTACAAGTGTGAGTCTCTGTATGTGTGCACAAGTGTGAGTCTCTGTATGTGTGTACAAGTGTGAGTGTGTGTACAAGTGTGAGGGTGTATACGAGTGTGAGTGTGTGTACAAGTGTGAGTGTGTGTACGAGGTTGGTGAGTCTCTGTATGTGTGTACAAGTGTGAGTGTGTGTATGTGTGTACAAGTGTGAGTGTGTGTATGTGTGTACAAGTGTGAGTGTGTGTATGTGTGTACAAGTGTGAGTCTCTGTATGTGTGTACAAGTGTGAGTGTGTACGAGGGTGAGTGTGTGTACAAGTGTGAGTCTCTGTATGTGTGTACAAGTGTGTGTGTGTACGACGGGTGAGTGTGTGTACAAGTGTGAGTGTGTGTACAAGTGTGAGTCTCTGTATGTGTGTACAAGTGTGAGTGTGTGTACGTGTGGTGAGTCTCTGTATGTGTGTACAAGTGTGAGTGTGTGTACGTGTGGTGAGTCTCTGTATGTGTGTACAAGTGTGAGTGTGTGTACAAGTGTAAGTCTCTGTATGTGTGTACAAGTGTGAGTGTGTGTACGAGTGTGAGTCTCTATGTGTGTACAAGTGTGAGAGTGTGTACAAGTGTGAGTGTGTGTATGTGTGTACAAGTGTGAGTGTGTGTATGTGTGTACAAGTGTGAGTGTGTGTATGAGTGTGAGTCTCTATGTGTGTACAAGTGTGAGTGTGTGTACACAGTACGAGTTTACAAGTGTGTGTGTGTGTACGAGGGTGGTGAATTTACGAGTGTGTGTACAAGTGTGAGTCTCTGTATGTGTGTACAAGTGTGAGTCTCTGTATGTGTGCACAAGTGTGAGTGTGTGTACAAGTGTGTGTGTACAAGTGTGTGTGTACGAGTGTGAGTCTCTGTATGTGTGTACAAGTGTGAGTGTGTGTACAAGTGTGAGTGTGTGTACAAGTGTGAGTTTGTGTACAAGTGTGAGTGTGTGTACGAGTGTGAGTTTGTGTACAAGTGTGTATGTGTGTACCAGTGTGGTGAGTCTCTGTATGTGTGTACAAGTGTGAGTGTGTGTATGTGTGTACAAGGGTGTGTGTGTACAGGTGTGAGTGTGAGTACAGGTGTGAGTGTGTGTACAAGTGTGAGTGTGTGTGTACAGGTGTGAGTGTGTGTATACAAGGGTGTGTGTGTGTGTGTACAGGTGTGAGTGTGTGTGTACAAGTGTGAGTGTGTGTGTACAGGTGTGTGAGTGTACATGTGTGAGTGTGTGTACAGGTGTGAGTGTGTGTGTGTGTACAAGGGTGAGTGTGTGTGTACAAGTGTGAGTGTGTGTACAGGTGTGAGTGTGTGTATAGGTGTGAGTGTGTGTACAGGTGTGAGTGTGTGTACATGTGTGAGTGTGTGTACAGGTGTGAGTGTGTGTGTGTGTACAAGTGTGAGTGTGTGTACAAGTGTGAGTGTGTGTACAGGTGGGAGTGTGTGTACATGTGTGTACAGGTGTGAGTGTGTGTGTACAGGTGTGAGTGTGTGTACGGGTGTGAGTGTGTGTACAGGTGTGAGTGTGTGTACGGGTGTGAGTGTGTGTACAGGTGTACAAGTGGAGCGGTGGCGCAGTGATTAGCGCTACACTGCACTACGAACCCGGCGACCCGAGTTCGATTCCCGCTCACGGCCACCAACGCCAGTGACGATTATCTGAACCGGTCCTGGGCCTCCCCTAGGTCGACTCAGCCTCAAATGAGTACCCGGTGCGATTTGCAAACATCGCCACTGGGGAGACAAAGGCGGCCGGGGGGATAGGTACTAGCCACTTTCCCCAGCAGCCTGTGTAGGCCACTTGGGGGATCTTTGTCTTTATTTGTTTAGGTGTCTGTATCTAAACGGAGGCTAATGTGGTCTCTCTGTGTGTGAACAGGTCACTGGAGTCCATCAACTCCACCACACTTGTGAATCCGGTAAATCGAAACTCAGTCTCTATGTGTCTGTGGGTATCTGTGTAAGTCTGCGAGTCTTTGTGCGAGTCTGTGGGTCTCTATGTGAGTCTATGGGTCTATGTGTGAGTCTGTGGGTCTCTATGTGAGTCTATGGGTCTCTGTGTGAGTCTGTGGGTCTCTATGTGAGTCTATGGGTCTATGTGTGAATATGTACGTCTCTGTGTGAGTCTGTGGGTCTTTGTTTGAGTCTATGGGTCTTTGTGTGAGTCTGTGGGTCTTTGTGTGAGTCTATGTGTCTCTGAGTCTGTGGGTCTCTGTGTGAGTCTATGGGTCTCTGTGTGAGTCTATGTGTGAGTCTATGGGACTCTATGTGAGTCTATGTGTGAGTCTATGGGTCTATGTGTGAGTCTATGTGTGAGTCTATGGGTCTATGTGTGAGTCTATGGGACTCCATGTGAGTCTATGGGTTTGGAATCCAGGATCTCAGCTGTGACATCTCAACGTCTCTGACACGGCCATTGTGAACCCCTAAGAGAGAGAAAGAGACACCCAGAGTCAGGGCTCGAACCGAGGTTCCCAGCAGGGTTCGACTCGGGGGGTGTCTGAGCTCTGAGGCTGTCGGCCACTTCTCACTCCACGCGCTTAAATTTCCGCGAAATTACGGAACTGAACTCGGCTGGCATGGGAAGTGTGTTTTTATACAAACGCAGTGCTGCAACAAACCTATCTGCCAATCGCTCAGCTGGGATCAGCAACATCGCCCCCTGGGTAGTAGCAGCAACAACATCGCCCCCTGGGTAGTAGCAGCAGCAACATCGCCCCCTGAGTAGTAGCAGCAACAACATCGCCCCCTGAGTAGTAGCAGCAGCAACATCGCCCCCTGGGTAGTAGCAGCAGCAACATCGCCCCCTGAGTAGTAGCAGCAACAACATCGCCCCCTGGGTAGTAGCAGCAGCAACATCGCCCCCTGAGTAGTAGCAGCAACATCGCCCCCTGAGTAGTAGCAGCAACAACATCGCCCCCTGAGTAGTAGCAGCAACAACATCGCCCCCTGGGTAGTAGCAGCAACAACATCGCCCCCTGGGTAGTAGCAGCAACAACATCGCCCCCTGAGTAGTAGCAGCAGCAACATCGCCCCCTGGGTAGTAGCAGCAGCAACATCGCCCCCTGAGTAGTAGCAGCAGCAACATCGCCCCCTGAGTAGTAGCAGCAGCAACATCGCCCCCTGAGTAGTAGCAGCAGCAACATCGCCCCCTGAGTAGTAGCAGCAGCAACATCGCCCCCTGAGTAGTAGCAGCAACAACATCGCCCCCTGAGTAGTAGCAGCAGCAACATTCCCCTCTGGGTAGTAGCAGCAGCAACATCGCCCCCTGGGTAGTAGCAGCAACAACATCGCCCCCTGGGTAGTAGCAGCAGCAACATCGCCCCCTGGGTAGTAGCAGCAACAACATCCCCCTCTGGGTAGTAGCAGCAGCAACATCGCCCCCTGGGTAGTAGCAGCAGCAACATCGCCCCCTGAGTAGTAGCAGCAACATCGCCCCCTGGGTAGTAGCAGCAGCAACATCGCCCCCTGGGTAGTAGCAGCAACAACATCGCCCCCTGGGTAGTAGCAGCAACAACATCGCCCCCTGGGTAGTAGCAGCAGCAACATCGCCCCCTGGGTAGTAGCAGCAACAACATCGCCCCCTGGGTAGTAGCAGCAGCAACATCGCCCCCTGGGTAGTAGCAGCAGCAACATCGCCCCCTGGGTAGTAGCAGCAACAACATCGCCCCCTGGGTAGTAGCAGCAACAACATCGCCCCCTGGGTAGTAGCAGCAGCAAGAACATTTGTGGATACTGGCAAAAAGGTCACATGGATACAGTGACCACATCTGTTCACCACGTGGAGACTTTTCTTCATCGGCCAATTTGTACTCCAACACCCAACCGGTTAGTGCTGAACTAGTGAAGTACCCGTCGAGGACGCTTGACAACGGAGTTGAGGCACACGTATATTTATTTAACAAGTTGCCAGTACAGGACAGCCCTAGAGGGGGTAGCGGCCCCCTCACCCGTATAACTCAGGGAATACCCCTAGCTATCCATAGCCTATCCCCTGAGTCCTCCACTAAGAGCTAGGGGAGGCTGTCTGGCCCGACACTGGTAATCGGGCTCGGTACCCGGAGTCCCAGAGCACTGGCTCTGGTTCACGGGACCACGCCACTGGCTCGAGCCTGATCCCGTGGGGCCCTGATAAGGGCGGCGATCAGGGGGAGTCCAGGGCTCTAGCTACGACGTCTTCCGACTTCTTAGCTTAACTATAACATAACTGACTAAGCCCATATAACGACCCCTTTTTATACCCAACCCTCCTTGAGGGGTGGGGCCCCGGGGGATCGTAACGCCGAACCAGCCCCCCCCCAGGGTGTCTGGCTCGGACGTCGCAGAGGGCATCTCCCTGTGCACACACGTAGCCCCGCCCACTGTGTTTCTTTCCCATAGGCTGCCATGCATAACGGCCCTCTCTCCAACGTCCCTACATCACTCCCCCCCGCATAGCTCGCAGCCGTCCCGGCTGCAACAATTTCAACAAATGAATCTTTACCCCTTGACTCCCCCCGTGTGTGCCCCATTTTTTTTCCATTTAACAGAACGAGAATTAAACAACAACACTAACAATGCCCCTAAAGGGAGAACAAACCGACGCGCCCCCCCCCCCGAATAAATACGAAATCCGTAGAGGCAAGATATGTACATTTCCCGGAACCCTCAGCGCACGCACAACACGCACACAAGACGCACACACACACACAGCCATAATACAACAACGCGCCAAGAGCGCCACACGAACGCAGCGTCCAGCAACAATAGCACACGAAAGTGTACCAGAAAACGCAAAAAAAATAAAAAAAATTTTCTTCTTATTTTCGTTTCGTTTTCACCTCTTGTTCGCGTTCCAGTGTTTTTATAAGAGTCTGCGCATTTTAGCGCGCGTCCTTGCCGCAGGCCCGTCACAAGGGCCAACCTCAGATGGAGGACCATTCGGTGGCCGCTGTCCCATCCGAGGAGAGTCCGCAATTGGAGTGGCGGGACCCTCGGCATCCCCCGTGAGGGATGTGCGCGAGCCCGTCATTCCGGGAGAACCTGGGGGCGGGGCAACCGGCAAGACGTCAGGTGAGATCAACAGAGGCGGACCCTCCGGGTCGGTCGACCCCTCACATGCTTGGCCCTGCGCGTGTGGAGCAGAGTCCCGCACCGCAACGAAGGGTTTTAGTCTAGAGGGGTGAACGAACCACCGGCGCCTCCCCCACTTGATACGAACGCACTGCGGTCGCAAAACCTCGACCACCTCGACGGGGCCCCGCCATGGCCGTACCAGTTTCGAGGAGGTCGCAAGCGGTACCTGGGGACAGTGCAGCCATGCCCTGTCCCCTGGCTTCCACTGCAGCACGTGCGCGCGCGCAAGTCTGAGGCGCTCATTCGCCTTTTGGCGCATGCGGGAATTGAGCATGGCAGCATCCCGCGCCTCAGTTAGCTTTTGAAGGTTAAATTTAACGTGCTCGTCCAATTTAATTTTACCTAGAGGCGCGGGGATCTGCAGCTGTGCCCGAACAGGTGGGTCATGTTCGCGACCATACATGAGAAAGAAGGGTGAAAATCCCGTGGCAGCATGGGGGGCCAATCGATATGCTGCCAGGACCCCTTGAATTTGCAAGTCCCAATTGGTCTGTGACTCCGAAACCAGGTGCGACAACATAGACGTGATGGTACGATGCAGACGCTCGACCATCCCGTCAGTTTGTGGGTGATAGGGAGAGGTACGAATCTTCTTTGTACCTAGGAGATCACAGACTTGTTTGAGGAGGTTCCCGGAAAAATTTTTACCCTGGTCGGTCAGCAGCCGCTCCGGAGCACCTTTGTCCATGACGTAGCCTTGGACAAAGGCGTCCACGATGGCTGCTGCCGACTGATTTGCCAGGGGCCAGGCCATAGGCCAGCGTGTGAAGTATTCGACCCCTGTTAGCAAATATCTATTGCCCCTAGGGGTGGCGGGAAACGGCCCCAGGATATCCAACGCTACGAGTTCGTTCACCCTGGAGACTGTGATGGACTGCAACGGCGGGTTCGACTCCCGAGCTGGTGGTTTGCGTTGCGCACACCGGGGGCATGCTGCCAGGAGATCCGTGACATCCCGTGTCATGCCCGGCCAAAAAAAATCCAGCTGGAGCGAGGCGAGGGTCTTTTGGGTACCCAGGTGGAGGAGGCGCTCATGAGCAGCCCACACCACCTTACCCCGTAACCCCGCAGGAACTACCAGCCGGTGACGGTGGGATTTACCGTCCCAATGCATGAGCAAGCCCGCGTGTATTTCCCAATTGTCGGCATCACCCGTCCCACACCCCCTCTCCCTGGCGCGACGACGCAGCGCGAGGAGGGAGGCGTCCTCCATCTGGAGGCGTCCCCACTCAATCACAGGCAACCCAAGCAGGGAATCCCTTCCCTGTTTCCCGATCTCATCGGGGAGCGATGTGTCAACATCGGCGGCGGCCGCCAGGACTGGAACCGTCATGTCCCCAGCTGGCTTGCAACGCCCCGACCCCAGGAGGCATGCGCATTCGGAGGTGGTTGGCATGCGCGACAGAGCGTCCGCATTTGTGTGGCGAATGCCCTTACGATAGGTGGTGTCAAAATCGAAATCCTGGAGGACCTCCAGCCATCGGGACAATTGTCCCGATGGCTGTTGAACCTTCAGGGCGTACTGCAGTGCCGCATGATCCGTACGGACAGTGAAATGCTGACCGTACAGATATGGGCGGTACTGTTGGATGAAGAAAACAATTGCCAACAGTTCTCTACGGGTGACACAATATTTTTGCTCCGCTGGAGACAACACCCGACTGCCGTACGCAACCACCCGTTCCACGCCATCAACCACCTGGGAAAGCACGCCTCCGATACCTGTGTTGCTCGCGTCGGTGTCGAGCAAAAACGGCCTCGAAAAATCGGGGTAAGTCAAAGGAGGAGCCTTCACCAATGCATCCCGAAGGGAGCAGAAAGCTACTTCCTCATCCCGACCCCAGTGGAACCGAACCCCTTTTGATGTCAAAGCATGTAGGGGTTTGGCAATTGTAGCAAAATTAGCGACGAACCGTCGGTAATATGAAGCGAAGCCAATAAAACTCCTCACCTCCCCCACCGAGGTCGGAATTGGCCAGGAGCTGACACACTGCGTTTTGGCGGGATCGGTAGCAATACCCGAGCGCCCCACGATGTGCCCCAAATAACGCACTGACTCGCGAAACAAATAGCATTTTTGGGGCTTAAATTTCAAATTAGCAGCCCGCATCCTTTGGAAAACCGCCCGCAGCCTCTGGAGATGTTCGTCAAAGGTTCTTCCAAAAACAATTACGTCATCCAAATAAATCAGGCACGATTCCCATTGCAATCCAGCCAAAACCAATTCCATCAACCGCTGGAAGGTTGCCGGCGCTGAGTGTAAGCCCATCGGCAACCGGTTGAATTGGAACAGGCCGTGCGGTGTACGGAAAGCGGTTTTAGGCTTCGAATCATCGTCCAGAGGAAGCTGCCAGAATCCCGAAAGTAAATCTAGTGTGGAGAAGAATCGCGCTCCCGCCAAGGCGTCCAGCGATTCGTCCATCCGTGGGAGCGGGTATGCGTCGGCAACCGAAACCTTATTAAGGCGACGGAAATCTACGCAAAACCGCAACGAGCCATCCTGTTTCTTAACCAGGACAATCGGTGCTCCCCAAGGGCTGGTAGAGGGAGAGATAATGTCGGCGGCTAACATGTCATCGACAGCCGATTTGACATGGTCCTTTTCGGCGGGACTCAACCGAAAAGGATTTTGGCGAATAGGCGCGCTGTCACCCGTGTCAATATGGTGACGCAGCAGGTGAGTACAACCCAAATCGTATTTATTCCGACTGAAAACGTCGGAAAATTCCTTTAGCAGCGATCTAAGCCGTTGGCGCTCTAAATTGGACAGGTTCGTCGATCCCGCACAAAGCGCGTCGAGCCACCCTTCATCGCCGTCCGAATGCGGGTGCGTCCGAGCAGCAGTGTCAATGTGGTTCACGGCAGGTTCCTCGCAGGGCACCGGCGTCGCGTGAGCGAGCACAGTCCCTTGGGGAACCACTACTGTCTGCGACCCGACATTGAGGACCGCGATGAAGGGATCCTCGTCCCCCCTTACGATGGTCTGGGCCGGAATTAAATGAGGCCCATTAACCCCGGCCCTAGACGGCCCCAGCACAACACCCTGATCCCCAACACCCTTAGCGAAGGGCCTACGAAGTTTAAGAGGTACCAGCATTTGTGCCCCCGGCGGCACACGCACTGTTTTTACGACGAACGCCGGTACCGTCGCGAACGCCGTCCGAGTCGCTACAGGGGAAGGCAGGAACGCCATACGTCGCCCCGACGGAAGCTCAATGCATCCTTGGTCGATCAAAATACGAATTGGCATCCTGCCCAAGAAGTCCGTCCCCAGCAGGCACGGAACTGCCAGTGAGGAGGAGACAAAAATCGGCCCCGACAATTTGATGTCCCCGATAGAAATTTGCGCTCGAATCTGTCCCACGATGCCGAGAGAGCCCCCGTTAGCGGCATAGAAAGGGACATTAACCGGTAGCAAAGGACGGCTCTGCACCGGTAGAATATTGTAAATTAGTTCCGAAATAATTGTCGCCGATGCCCCTGTATCGACTATGATGCGTACCTCCACCCCATCAATGTAACCGACCACGGCCGACGATCCCGACGCCGCGGCCACCACGCGATGGGCCAACACGGACCACCGCTCGGGCTCGATTTGAGTCCCCGCAGTGATCCGCGCCGGTCCATCGCAGCGCCCCACCGGCCCCCCGTTCGTTACGGTGCGAGAGTGTGCGACAGGTGGGTGCGTTGGCCAAACATGTGAGGTGCCGCGACTCGCCGGATCATGGTGCTGGAGCTTGGGAGGAGGAAGAGGAGGGCCGGCGTCCTGTCGAGGCGTCGTCCCCCGCTGTCGAGGAGAACGGCACCCCGAGGCGACATGGCCCCGGATGCCGCAGTTGAAGCACCGCGGGAGCGCCGATGGAGACGATGGACGGTCGAAACGCCTCGGCCCGTCCCGACCCGGCCGCGCCCCCGTCGTCTGTTGCCGTCGATGGTCGACGGCATAAAGTTCTTCTGACGGAAGGGTGGCTGCAGCCACCGCACGCCCAGCCGATGCCCTGTTTGCCTTTCGCCGCTGCTGCAGAAGGTTGGCGTGGAGGAGTCGCGCAGCCTGGAGGGAGGTCATTTCTGCATCCCCTTGTGCGATGACGACGATGTCGAGGTCGTCCGCCAAGAGGAGGATCTTCTCCGCGACCATTGCGTCCACGCCGTCGTCGTCCATGCGGGGAAAGGCTGTTTTTGCCAGCGCCAGAAGACTTGTCCGGAAAGCCAGAGGCGACTCTTTTTCACCCCGCCTGCGATCGTAGAACTGCTGACGGCATTCGGCTGAAGGTCCATAGACCCCGGCCAGCAGCTGTAGCGCCATTGGTAGTGTAGCCCGCTTCTCTTTTGGCGCCGACGTGAGTGCGGCGAGCGCGTCCCCATCGAGGAGCGCCGGCAGCGCGCAAAGGGCCTCCTCGTCGGACCACCGCGCCATCTCCTGATGGGCGAGGAAGCGTCGCCGGAAGCCGCCCCAGTCACCCTCCGCACCGATGAATTCCTTCAGCGGGGGCAGCCTTTGGTGAAGCGCAGCGGTCGATGTGGACTCCCGCAGGTTGCTTTCACCTCCCTTTGGCGGTGCCTCGGCGCGACTGGCCGATGGCATCGCCTGTCGCGGCAGCGATGACGCATCCTTCGGCTGCGATGACGCTGCAGCCCCGGCGACGGCGATGTCGGAGCCGATGTCTAAGCTGGCCACGCCCCGAACAGCCGCGGCGTCCATGGCGGGAAATTCAAATTGTGAAGTCGCTGAAATGGCGGGAAAGTGCTCCGGCCGCCGGTTCTCCTCGCCCTGCGGTGGACCACCAGCCCCCAACCGCGTAATGCCTTCCAGTGTGGCGGCAGCGGCATAAAGTAGCTCCGCCAGCCGTTCGTGAGCCAGTCGTAGTGCATCTGGCTGCGGCCCCTCTCCATGCTGACGTCCCGGTGAGAAGGCGCCAGGCTCCGGCTGCACCCCATCTTGTTGCTCTGTCTCGGGCTCGGCGATCTCCGCGGCGTCCTCCTCTTGTGGTACCCTGGTCCGAGCTGTATGGCGCGTTTCCATTTTTACCACTTCTGACGCCAGATGAAGTACCCGTCGAGGACGCTTGACAACGGAGTTGAGGCACACGTATATTTATTTAACAAGTTGCCAGTACAGGACAGCCCTAGAGGGGGTAGCGGCCCCCTCACCCGTATAACTCAGGGAATACCCCTAGCTATCCATAGCCTATCCCCTGAGTCCTCCACTAAGAGCTAGGGGAGGCTGTCTGGCCCGACACTGGTAATCGGGCTCGGTACCCGGAGTCCCAGAGCACTGGCTCTGGTTCACGGGACCACGCCACTGGCTCGAGCCTGATCCCGTGGGGCCCTGATAAGGGCGGCGATCAGGGGGAGTCCAGGGCTCTAGCTACGACGTCTTCCGACTTCTTAGCTTAACTATAACATAACTGACTAAGCCCATATAACGACCCCTTTTTATACCCAACCCTCCTTGAGGGGTGGGGCCCCGGGGGATCGTAACGCCGAACCAGCCCCCCCCCAGGGTGTCTGGCTCGGACGTCGCAGAGGGCATCTCCCTGTGCACACACGTAGCCCCGCCCACTGTGTTTCTTTCCCATAGGCTGCCATGCATAACGGCCCTCTCTCCAACGTCCCTACACTAGTAACGAATTGGCATATTTAGTTTACGTGACAAACCTATACTATCTTCTTCTTGGTTCTTTCGGTAAAGTCACGTAGAAGGGAAATAATACAAATAATACAAATAAAACATTAAATAATTCTCACGACGTTTCGGCCACAACGCAAGCAGCCGTCCTCAGGTGAAGAACAGGTCTGTCGGGAAGACAGCGTCTGAATGGTCATTCTGTTCTTCACCTGAGGACGGCTGCTTACGTTGTGGCCGAAACGTCGTGAGAATTATTTTATGTTTTATTTGTATTATTTTATTATTTCCATTCTACGTGACTTTACCGAAAGAACCAAGAAGATGAATCCCTGCAGTCACGAAAGCTTTAAATCGAAATCTATACTATCTTCTTGGTTCTTTCGGTAAAGTCACGTAGAAGGGAAATAATAAAATAATAAAAATAAAACATTAAATAATGACCTATACTAATTGGCTGTGTCGGGTGGTGGCGGATTTAACGACGCATTTATATATTTACGTGATTTGATCTGACCCCAAAAAAAAAACCCCTCTTACGGACAACATCTGTCGCGAAAGTCTGCGAGTTAAACGCTTTTCTCTGGCTCAGGCGATCTGACCCAAACAAAAAACCGAATCTGATTACGAATCGTGATACTAAATGATTGTGATACCTATGCTGCTGCTGCTATTGCGACACTAGCTCAGGGAGGGTCAGGGGGGGATTGGATCCGAATGCACCTCCCTAAGGACTGATCCGTGACGTTATTTGTTGAGAACCGCCACCTGGTATCCACCAGCGCAGTGCATTGCGGCTCCTAGAACTTTGCGAGTTTTAGTTTTTTCCACCGAATTCGGAAAAATAATGCCGCCACCACCTCTTGTTACTCTGTTTGCCGAGCCCTGCCACCAGCTGGTGCTGTCGCCTGCGCCGGGGGTGCTGATTCCTACTCAGAGGTCTCAAACGGGTTTTGATTCCTTAGCCGTACCCGTACCTGGCCGCACCAGGGTCGCAAACGGCTACCCGTACCCGGCTGGGGACGGGTAGCCGGGTATCGGGTAGGGTACGGGTATCGGGTACCCGGTTGCGACCTCTGTTCCTCCTCCCCTTCCTCCTCCTCTTTCCCTCTTCCTTGAGGAGGATGCGCTACAACGGGAAGGAGCTGTCCTGGCTGGCAAGGCAGCCTCGCGGCTTCCAGCGGGAGGGAAAGCTCTTCGTGGGGAACGTCCCCCCAGGAAGCCTCCTTCACCGACGGCCAGGTATGGATCTGGACTCGTCTTCATGCAGATGTCCATGCTGGTTACCCCCTTGTTCTCCACCCCCCTGCTCCCATCCCCCTCCATCGTGACATCACCGTCACTTGGTGGCGAATGGTTGTTGTTGTTGTTGCTGTGTGTGTGTACACGTGCAGTTCTCTCGGAGCGCTGGGGCCGTCTCAGAGGGAACCTTCTGTTCCTGCTCAAGTCACGTGACAAGGTGACCTCCACGCCGGTGGGGGGGGGGGGAGGGGTCAATGAGTGGTGCGCTAATTGGGTAGCGAGTTCATTTGGTTATGGGGGGCATCGCCACATTGTCAGGGTCGTTTGGGTTGCACCCACGGGGGAAGGGGGGGGGAGTTTCACACAACGTCTGCGAGTGATCCATCAACCCTCGCTGCTGCTGCTGCTGCTGCTGCGGCTGCTGCTGTTGCGGCTGCTGCTGCAGCTGCTGTTGCTGCTGCTGTTGCTGCTGCTGCTGCGGCCGCCTCGACAGCGCCGGATCACAAACAGTGCAGCAGCGTAGCCACCACCACCGCCGCCGCCGCTACTCAGCGTGCGTGTTGCGCGTTTGTGTGTGCGAAGGAGTCGGACGCGGATGAGGTGGTGGTGTTGGAGAGGTGCGTTATTTGTACGGACAACGATGGAACGAACTGCGGCCTCACCATCAGTGAGTGAGCACGCCGTGCCCGGCACACCACATCCATCATCGCTGTTGCCCGCGTGTGTGTGCGCACGGCCCGGGGTCGCTCTCGAAAGAGGCGCGGTGGCGACGGCATTTCCTGCGTCTCGGCGGGGATCGTTTCTTAAACGCAGTTTCTGAGAGCCCACGATTTACAAGATGCCAAGTGGGCAGCAGCAACCAGCACTAACATCAAAGTTGTAATGGGTGAGAGTTGTGAATGTGGGTCTAGAGTTGAGCGAGGTTATTGTTGTTGGGGTAAGAACTTGGGCGGGGGGGGAGGTAGAGAGATGATGGTGGTGGTGGTGGTGATGATGGTGATGATGTTGGTGATGATGGTGGTGGTGATGGTGATGATGATGATGGGAGGAGGGGATTCCAGAGTGGAGCAGAGCGAGGGGGAAAAACAGAGAGAGGAGTGAGGTGACTTGCAGTCTGGTGAGTGGGTGGGTGAGTTGGTGAGTGGCTGAGTGAGTGCATGAGTGAGTAGGTGAGTGGGTAGTGAGAGAGTGGGTGGGTGTTTCGATTTAAAGCTTTCGTGACTGCAGGGATTCATCTTCTTGGTTTTTATTATGTTTTATTTTTATTATTTTATTACTTCCCTTCTACATGACTTTACCGAAAGAACCAAGAAGAGTGGGTGGGTGGCTGAGCGTGAGAGTGAGCGGGGTAGGTGAGTGGCTGAGCGTGAGAGTGAGCGGGTAGGTGAGTGGGTAGTGAGCGGGGTAGGTGAGTGGGTAGTGAGCGGGGTAGATTAGTGGGTAGTGAGCGGGGTAGGTAAGTGGCTGAGCGTGATCTCGACTGTCTCCCCCCACTCACCCCCACACCCCTCTGCCCCCCGCTGCCCCCACAGGTTTCCCAGGCCCCGGGGTGTCTCTGTACCTGGAGGTCTCCGGCCGCTCGGAGCGCGACGCTTGGAGCCGCGCGCTGGGCCGCGCCGGCGCCGAGGCCCTGGCGGGCCGCGTGGCGGCGCTCCGCGCGGCCATCTCCGGCCTACGCGGCCTCGACCCTCGGGCTCCCGGCACCCCCAGCACCCCGCACCCCCCCGGCACCACCGGCACCCCGCACCCCCCCGGCACCACCGGCACCCCGCACCCCCCCGGCATCCCCAGCACCCCGCACCCCCCCGGCCCCCGGGAGGGCGGCAACCCGGCGCTGGAGTTGAGCATCGGTGAGTTGGCACGGACTAGCGGCGGGCGGGCGTGCGTACTCGCCGTGTGTGTACTCACCGTGTGTGTGTGTGTACTCACCGTGTGTGTGTGTAGTGTGTCCACTCACCGTGTGTGTGTACTCACCGTGTACTCACCGTGTACTCACCGTGTACTCACCGTGTACTCACCGTGTGTGTGTGTGTGTAGTGTGTCCACTCACCGTGTGTGTGTACTCACCATGTACTCACCGTGTGTGTACTCACCGTGTGTGTTCTCACCGTGTGTGTGTGTAGTGTGTCCACTCACCGTGTGTGTGTACTCACCGTGTACTCACCGTGTACTCACCGTGTACTCACCGTGTACTCACCGTGTACTCACCGTGTGTGTGTGCTCACCGTGTACTCACCGTGTACTCACCGTGTGCTCACCGTGTACTCACCGTGTACTCACCGTGTGTGTGTACTCACCGTGTACTCACCGTGTGCTCACCGTGTACTCACCGTGTACTCACCGTGTGTGTGTGCTCACCGTGTACTCACCGTGTGCTCACCGTGTACTCACCGTGTACTCACCGTGTGTGTGTACTCACCGTGTACTCACCGTGTGCTCACCGTGTACTCACCGTGTACTCACCGTGTGTGTGTGCTCACCGTGTACTCACCGTGTACTCACCGTGTGCTCACCGTGTACTCACCGTGTACTCACCGTGTGTGTGTACTCACCGTGTACTCACCGTGTGCTCACCGTGTACTCACCGTGTACTCACCGTGTGTGTGTGCTCACCGTGTACTCACCGTGTACTCACCGTGTGCTCACCGTGTACTCACCGTGTACTCACCGTGTGTGTGTACTCACCGTGTACTCACCGTGTGCTCACCGTGTACTCACCGTGTACTCACCGTGTGTGTGTGCTCACCGTGTGCTCAGCTTGCCGGGGGCTGCCGTGCGGGCCAGGCGACAGCCCCCCGAGCCCGTTTGCCCGCGTCTACGTCTACTCCCGGCGAGCACACAACCCGACGTGGACGCTGCACTCGCACACCGAGACCATCGAGGCACCGCACACCGCAACACACACGCCGCACCGCACGCCACACCGCACCACACTGCACTACACTACACCACACTACACCACACCACACTACACCACACTACACCACACTACACCACGTCGCACTACACCACACTACACCACGCCGCACCGCACTCCACACAGCACCACACTGCACTACACTACACCACGCCGCACTACACTACACCATACTACACCAACACCACGCCGCACTACACCGCTCCACACACCACACTATGCCACACTACACCACGCCACACCACGCCGCACTACACCGCACCACACACCACACTATGCCACACTACACCACAGTACACCACACACCGCACCGCATTCCACCACATCAAGCAGCACCACACCACACATTGCACCACGCACCACACTACACCACACTACACCACGCCGCACTACACCGCACCACACACCACACTATGCCACACTACACCACAGTACACCACACACCGCACCGCATTACACCACACCAAGCAGCACCACACCACCCAACGAACTGCTGCACCATTCACCGAACCTTGCCTGGCACCCCACTGCATATTCTTAGGTTTTTTCGGTAAAGTCACGTAGGTAAAAACATTAAAAAGTAAAATAAAAAAAAAAATCACGACGTTTCAGAGGCAACACAAGCTTCCGTCTTCAGGTGGTACCGTCACAGCCACGACAGCTGTATCAAGTAAATGAGAGATTGCAAGAGCTACCACTCCGTTTATATAATGGTTGGAGAGGGGGTGGGGCAAGGGCCGCATACTTTTTATTAATATGGTAAGGTGAGGCTTAGAGGCTTAAAGCTGAGCCTTTGTTATGGAAAGGTGCGGTTTGTGACTCAACCTGTGACAGGGAGACCACCACTAAACATGGTAAAACAGTAGTGGTTGTCTGTCAAATAAGATTGGCGAATAAGTGTAGTTAAATCTTTTTTGCATGGTTAATCACATCTTTCCAATGATTACTCAGTTTGTAACCGTCATCACGGTTGAAATTATGTCTGTGTTTGTATATTTGTATGGCTTCGTGTACAAACCTTTGATGGTAGCCAGGAGGTTTGCAGAGAACCTTGGTCTCGGAAAATACAATTTCATGAGAGCCCACCGAGTTGTAGCAATGATCGGCAATGGCCGAAGAATCAGTTCTGCCGTGTTTCAGATCTGACTTGTGCTCGCGGACACGATCAGAAACATGACGTTTCGTTTCTCCAATGTAGCAATCTCTCATTTACTTGATACAGCTGTCGTGGCTGTGACGGTACCACCTGAAGACGGAAGCTTGTGTTGCCTCCGAAACGTCGTGATTTTTTTTATTTTATTTTACTTTTTAATGTTTTTACCTACGTGACTTTACCGAAAAAACCTAAGAATATGAATCATTGCAGTCACGAAAGCTTCAAATCTAGAATTAATGCACTCCACTGCATCTTTGCATATCCCACACCGCACACTGTACACCCAGCACCATGCACCACACTCGATCTACTTGCTGTACATGGTTTGTGTGTCCGGTGTGGTGTGTATGGTGAGTGTACACGGTGCGGTGTTTATGGTGAGTACGCACAGTATGGGTGTGTACGGTGAGTGTACACGTTGCAGTGTGTATGGTGTGGGTGTGTATGGTGAGTATACATGGTATGGGTGTGTATGGTGAGTGTACACGTTGCAGTGTGTATGATGTGGGTGTGTATGGTGAGTATACATGGTATGGGTGTGTATGGTGAGTGTGGGTGTATGGTGAGTATACATGGTATGGGTGTGAATGGTGAGTGTGTATGGTATGGGTGTGTATGGTGAGTGTACATGGTGTGGGTGTGTATGGTGAATGTGTACGGTGTGGGTGTGTATGGTGTGTACATGGTGTGGGTGTGTATGGTGAATGTGTACGGTGTGGGTGTGTATGGTGTGTACATGGTGTGGGTGTGTACGGTGAGTGTACACGATGCGGTGTGTATGGTGTGGGTGTGTGTGTATGGTGAGTATACATGGTGTGGGTGTGTATGGTGAGTGTACACGATGCGCGGTGTATGGTGTGGGTGTGTATGGTGAGTGTACATGGTGTGGGTGTGTATGGTGAGTGTACACGTTGCAGTGTGTATGGTGTGGGTGTGTACGGTGAGTATACATGGTATGGGTGTGTATGGTGAGTGTGTACGGTATGGGTGTGTACGGTGAGTGTACACGTTGCAGTGTGTATGGTGTGTGTGTGTATGGTGAGTGTGTGTGTGTGTATGGTATGGGTGTGTATGGTGAGTGTACACGGCGCGGTGTGGCGGGTGCAGGCGACGTGTGCGCCCGAGTTCCTGGTGAGCGCCGCGTTCTTCCCCGCTCCGCGCCCGCTGAGGATCTGCGTCTCGGTGTGCGACTCCCGCGATCGGAGTGGCCCCGACGGAGTGAGGGAGCACCGCACCCTGGCACCGCACTTGGACACCCAACTCGAAAACGAGTTGGATATCACTGACTGTAGATCAGAGGTCGCAAACGGGTTTTGATTCCTTACTCGTACCCGTACCCAGCCGCACCAGGGTCACAAACGGGTACCCGTACCCGTACCCGGCCGTACCCGTACCCGTACCCGGCCGGGTACAGGTAGGGTACGGGTATCGGGTACCTGATTGCGACCTCTGGGATGAAGCCATGTTCAGGCGCGGGTGGGTTGATTCTAGGAACTTGAATTGTGAGAAGAGACAAGACGTTGGGAAATGAGTGACAAACGGTGACTCACCAGTGACTCACAGTCTACCCGTACCCGTACCTGGCCGGGTACGGGTAGCCGGGTATCGGGTAGGGTACGGGTATCGGGTACCCGGTTGCGACCTCTGCTGTAGATTTGGAGTTTGCGGTGTCTCTCTCTCTCTCACCGAGGTCGCGTGGTTTTATCTCCAGGTCCTCCGGTTTTCCCCTCCACATTTAGAATCAACGTCACGTGGTTGGAGTATAGACCACAATACCTGCAGTCATAATGCAAACAAAAAACACAACTCTGATAATGTGCACTGTCCTTGAAGTTGATTGGTCCACACCCGAGACAGCTTTCCTTATAGCCTAGTCTCACATGGTGTTGGACCAGATGACGCCAAAAGGCGCACAACTCAAAGACAATGCACCATCAGAGTATGAGAGCTCGGGGTAAACATTTACACCATTGGTACCTCATTTGCCAGTAAAACATATGATAATTTTTTTTTACCCTTCTATCTGGCAACAAAACTGACACCTTTTTTACAAGGAGTCATGTTTGCATAGACCACAATACCTGCAGTGGTATATTTTTTTACCGGCAAATGAGGTTCCAATGGTGTTTGGAGTGGTTGGCTGCTGTTGTACACTTCCACGCGATGATGATGATGATATCAACCACCCTGCTGAGAGATCATTTGTGGCCTGGTTGCTCCTGAAAAAAATCTCTATAGGGGCCGTCCATAAGTGACGTCACGTGATTTTGGACGAGTTTTGACCCCCCCCCTCTCTCTCGTCACACGGCGTCACAAAAAGTCAGACCCCCCCCTCAATATGACGTCACAAATCTCTGCCCCCCCACCCCCAAAAAATAAAACATGCTTCAAATCGCTTTAAACTATTGTCATTGTAGTGCGCATTTAATGTGGCGCTGCACTCTGATGTTGTAGGAGAAAACATTTATTAAAACGTCTATTTAATTAAGTAGAACGTGTTGTCTATATTTATTTAAAGTTGCGCATTTTGATGACGTGACGTCACATTTCTCAACCCCCCCCCCCTAGGTGCGTGACGTCATTTATGGACGACCCCATAATTCAGTGCGCCTTACCTGAAAAACAAAATAAACAGCACTTGCCCCAACAGTCTGTTAAGGCTACACGGGGGACATTTGTCTTTGTCGTGCTCAGGTGAAGGTTCTGGGAAAGGTGGAATGTTCGGTGGAGGAGCTTCTGCGTGGCGGAGGCAAGCTCAGCCTCCCCTTGAAGTGAGCTCAACACCACCCACCTCACTCTGACCCTGACCCTTTGAGCTGGCCGCTCGTGACCTGACCATGGCTTGATCCTGACCCCGATCTGACCTCTTCACTGTTGCGGTCTTGTTTCCTGCGTAGTCATTGGTGACCAGGGTGAGACCATCATCTCATAGCCACAGCTCCGTGTCTGTGAGTCTATGGCTCTCTGTGCGAGTCTATGGGTCTCTGTGTGAGTCTATGGGTCTCAATGTGAGTCTATGGCTCTCTGTGTGAGTCTTTAGGTCTCTGTGTGAGTCTATGGGTCTCTGTGTGAGTCTATGGGTCTCTGTGTGAGTCTGTGGGTCTCAATGTGAGTCTGTGAGCCTCTGTGTAAGTCTATGGGTCTCTGTGTGAGTCTATGTCTCTCTGTGTGAGTCTATGGCTCTCTGTGTGAGTCTGTGTGGGTCTCTGTCTCTGCAGATCGGACCAGGGAGTGAGTGCTGGTGAGGTGAGGCTGCAAGGCTGGGCGAGCGACAGTGGTGAGGAGACGGTGGCTTCCTCACCACTGCTGGTGAGCGGGGACGAGATATTGGATCACGACCCTACTCATAGCCCACACTCATAGCCCATACCCCTCTCGCTACACCTCATAGCCCATACCCCTACCCCCCCCTCTCTCTACTCATAGCCCACACCCCCCCTCTCTCTACTCCTCATAGCCCACACCCCTACCCCCCCCTCTCTCTACCCTCATAGCCCATACCCCTGCCACTACCCCCCCTATCTTTACCCCCACACCCCTACCACTACCCCACAACCCATACCCCATACACCAGCCCCATCACTGTGTATCCACACTGCAGTGATACAAATTCATTACCACTTACCCCCCTGCTCCCCCCCTCTGCTGCCCCCCCCCCCCTCCACTGCCCCCCCCTGCCCACGACTCCCCCCCCGCTGCCCCCCCCCCCCCGCTGCCCCCCCCCCCATCCCAACGCTGTCCAGGGCCCCCGTGGGATTCCCGAGTGGCGAGCAAAGCGCTACCACAGCCTCCTCCATGACGAGTTCCTCAGGACCAGTGAGCGATGGCATCACCACCACCATCGTCACCATCGTCACCATCATCACCACCGTCACCACCGTCACCACCGTCGCCATCGTCGCCATCATCGTCATCATCGCCATCATCGCTAACATCATGGCTAACATCATCATCATCATGAACATCATCATTGCCAACATCATTACCAACATCATCATCACTAACATCACCACCATCATCACGATTGCAAACATCGTTACTAACATCGTCCTCATCATCATCACCACCGTCACCATCATCGCCATCATCGCCAACATCATGGCTAACATCATCGCTAACATCATCATCACAAACATCATCATTGCGAACATCATTACCAACACCATCATCACTAACATCACCATCATGAACATCATCATCACTAACATCACCATCATGAACATCATCATTGCTAACATCATTACCAACATCATCATCACAAACATCACCATCATGAACATCATCATTGCTAACATCATCATCACCAACATCATCATCACTAACATCACCACCATCATCACGATTGCAAACATCATTACTAACATCGTCATCATCATCATCACTAATTTCATCGTGACTAACGTCATCACTAACATCGCCAGCATCATCTTCATGATCATTACAAACATCACCAACATCACCATCATCAATAACAACATTATTGACATCGTTTTAACTCACATTATCACCATCATCATCGCTGGCAGGGCATGCGTCAGTGTGCGACTGAGTGGATGAGTGAGTGAATGAACGAATGAGCGAGTGAATGAGTGAGTGAGCAGGCGAGGTAAATAGTGAGTGTGTGTGCATATGTGTGTGTGTCTGGGGGAGCGGTGGTGTAGCGGTTAGCACGCTGTGCTATGAACCCGGCGACACGAGTTCGATCTCCACTCACGGCCAACACCGGTGACAATTATCTGAACCGGTCCTGGGACTCCCCTAGGTCGACTCGGCCTCGAGTACCTGGTACGGTGTGGAGTAAACATCGCTACTGGGGAGACAAAGGCGGTCGGGCGTGGTGCTGGCCACCCACCCCCTCGTGTACCGTTGCGACCTTCATAGGTGCTCGCTAACAGCACTTGCCCCTACAGTCTGTTAAGGCTATATGTGGGATCTTTGTGTCTGCGTCCATATGCAGCCTTGATAGGTGCTGCCGCTCACTAACGGGCATTTGCCTCAGTACCCGGTGTGGGCTATACAGGGGCGGGGGGCCCTTTAGCTTTAACTTTTTGCGTGAGTCGGTGAGTTGGTGAGTGAGTGCACGAGTGCGTGAAGGAATGAGCGAGTGGGCGAGTGAGTGCGTGAACGAGTTGGTGAAGGAATGAACGAGTGGGCGAGTGAGTGCGTGAACGAGTGGGTGAAGGAATGAGCAAGTGGGCGAGTGAGCGAGTGGGTGAGTGAGTGCGTGAAGGAATGAGCGAGTGGGCGAGTGAGCGCGTGAACGAGTGAGCGAGTGTGTGAGCGAAGCAGCGAGCGTGTGTGCGCGTACACGTGTCCGTCCGCGCACGTGTCCATACGTACGTAGCCTACGTCTGACCTTCTTCCGCACCGTATGTAGCCGTCCGCGCTTATCGGAAGCGCGTGCGGCCCTGGCAGGCGCGGCCGCCCGCGCGAACAGGCGGCACGGGGAATGGGAACTGTGCCTCTGTCTCGTCGGCAGTGTTCTGCAACGAGTGCGTGCGCACGTACCGCGTGCCGGGCCACGTGGAGGCGCCGCAGCGGCCGCTGCTCGCGGTGCAGGAGCGCATGGCCGAGTCGCGTCTCTCCTTCCACGTTCCGCGCCAGCTGCTGCAGATGAGACTCCGCCAGCTGTCGGCGTGGTGCGCTCCCTCGCATCGCACGCGCACGCAGAGACGCGCAGAGACACGCGCGGAGACGCGGAGAGACACGCGCGGAGGGACACGGAGAGACACGCGCGGAGGGACGCGGGCAGAGACACGCGCAGAGACGCGGAGAGACACGCGCAGAGGGACGCGGGCAGAGACACGCGCAGAGACACGGAGAGACACGCGCAGAGACACGCGGGCAGAGACACGCGCAGAGGGACACGCACAGAGACACGCGCAGAGACGCGGAGAGACACGCGCAGAGACGCGGAGAGACACGTGCAGAGGGACGCGGGCAGAGACACGCGCAGAGACGCGGAGAGACACGCGCAGAGACACGCGCAGAGACGCGGAGAGACACGCGCAGAGACACGGAGAGACACGCGCAGAGACACGCGCAGAGACGCGGAGAGACACGCGCAGAGACACGCGCAGAGACGCGGAGAGACACGCGCAGAGACACAAGCAGAGACGCGGAGAGACACGCGCAGAGACACGGAGAGACACGCGCGTAGAGACGCGGGCAGAGACACGCACAGAGACACGAAGAGACACGCGCAGAGACGCGGGCAGAGACACGGAGAGACACGAGCAGAGACACGGAGACAGAATGAGAATATTTGTGTACACCGGAGGAATCCGACGAGCTCGCAAGCTCTTTTTCACGGATGTCCTCTAGGGGCATGGGGTAAGAACGTCGCGACACACGGAGCGATGCAGAGACGCGCACGCAGAGACACGGGTAGAGGCATGGAGAGACACAGAGACACAGAGACACACGCACTTGTGTGTGTACCCCGTGTGTGTATCCCGTAGTGTAGCGGTTATCGCTGCGCTACAATCCTGGCGACCCGGGTTCGATTCCCGCTCACGGTCAACACCGCTGACGATTATCTGAACCAGTCCCAGGCCTCAAATGAGTACCCATAGCGGTGTGCAGTAAACATCGCCACTGGGGGAGAGACAAAGGCGGCCGGGCGTGGTGCTGGCCACCCACCCCCTCGTGTGCTGCGCCTGCTTTTCGGTGCTACCCTCTAGCAGCACTTGCCTCAACAGCCCGTTAAAGGCTACACGGGGGATCTTTGTCTTTGTACCCCTGTGTGTTTGTCGTCCCCTTGACCTGCCAGGCTCTCTCTACTGCAAAGTGTGGACCCCCTTCTTCCCGCCCGCGTGGAAGAGCGGCGCCAACGCCTCCTGTCCCTGGGCACAGAACACGTGGAGGCCTACACAGAGGCCCTCACCAGCCTGCACGCTCACCACGGTGACTCACCACACTCCTCACCACCACGCTCACCACGGTGACTCACCACACTCCTCACCACCACGCTCACCACGGTGACTCACCACACTCCTCACCACCACGCTCACCACGGTGACTCACCACACTCCTCACCGCCACGCTCACCACAGTGACTCACCACTCTCCTCACCACCACGCTCACCACGGTGACTCACCACACTCCTCACCACCACGCTCACCACAGTGACTCACCACTCTCCTCACCACCACGCTCACCACGGTGACTCACCACTCTCCTCACCACCACGCTCACCACGGTGACTCACCACACTCCTCACCACCACCACACTCCTCGCCGCCACGCTCACCACGGTGGCTCGCCACACTCCTCACCACCACGCTCACCACGGTAACTCACCACACTCCTCACCACCACACTCACCACCGTGACTCACCACACTCCTCACCGCCACGCTCACCACGGTGACTCACCACACTCCTCACCACCACGCTCACCACGGTCACTCACCACACTCCTCACCGCCACGCTCACCACCGCCACACTCCTCACCGCCACGCTCACCTCGGTGACTCACCACACTCCTCACCACCACGCTCACCACAGTGACTCACCACACTCCTCACCACCACGCTCACCACGGTGACTCACCACACTCCTCACCACCACGCTCACCACGGTGACTCACCACACTCCTCACCACCACGCTCACCACGGTGACTCACCACACTCCTCACCGCCACGCTCACCACAGTGACTCACCACTCTCCTCACCACCACGCTCACCACGGTGACTCACCACACTCCTCACCACCACGCTCACCACAGTGACTCACCACTCTCCTCACCACCACGCTCACCACGGTGACTCACCACTCTCCTCACCACCACGCTCACCACGGTGACTCACCACACTCCTCACCACCACCACACTCCTCGCCGCCACGCTCACCACGGTGGCTCGCCACACTCCTCACCACCACGCTCACCACGGTGACTCACCACACTCCTCACCACCACACTCACCACCGTGACTCACCACACTCCTCACCGCCACGCTCACCACGGTGACTCACCACACTCCTCACCACCACGCTCACCACGGTCACTCACCACACTCCTCACCGCCACGCTCACCACCGCCACACTCCTCACCGCCACGCTCACCTCGGTGACTCACCACACTCCTCACCGCCACGCTCACCACCGCCACACTCCTCACCACCACGCTCACCACTGTGGCTCGCCACACTCCTCACCACCACGCTCACCACCGTGGCTCACCACACTCCTCACCGCTATGCTCACCACGGTGACTCACCACACTCCACACCACCACGCTCACCACGGTGACTCGCCACGCTCCTCACCACCACCACACTCCTCACCGCCACGCTCACCACTGTGGCTCGCCACGCTCCTCACCACCACGCTCACCACGGTGACTCACCACACTCCTCACCGCCACGCTCACCACGGTGACTCACCACACTCCTCACCACCATGCTCACCACGGTGACTCACCACACTCCTCACCACCACGCTCACCACCGTGGCTCGCCACACTCCTCACCGCCACGCTCACCACGGTGACTCACCACACTCCTCACCACCACGCTCACCACGGTCACGCACCACACTCCTCACCGCCACGCTCACCACGGTGACTCACCACACTCCTCACCGCCACGCTCACCACCGTGACTCACCACACTCCTCACCGCCACGCTCACCACCGTGACTCGCCACACTCCTCACCACCACGCTCACCACGGTGACTCGCCACACTCCTCACCACCACGACTCACCACACTCCTCACCGCCACGCTCACCACGGTGACTCACCACACTACTCACCACCACACTCCTCACCACCACCACACTCCTCACCGCCACGCTCACCACGGTGACTCACCACACTACTCACCACCACACTCCTCACCACCACCACACTCCTCACCGCCACGCTCACCACGGTGACTCACCACACTCCTCACCGCCACGCTCACCACCGTGACTCACCACACTCCTCACCGCCACGCTCACCACCGTGACTCGCCACACTCCTCACCACCACGCTCACCACGGTGACTCGCCACACTCCTCACCACCACGACTCACCACACTCCTCACCGCCACGCTCACCACGGTGACTCACCACACTACTCACCACCACACTCCTCACCACCACCACACTCCTCACCGCCACGCTCACCACGGTGACTCACCACACTACTCACCACCACACTCCTCACCACCACCACACTCCTCACCGCCACGCTCACCACGGTGACTCACCACACTCCTCACCGCCACGCTCACCACGGTGACTCGCCACACTCCTCACCGCCACGCTCACCACGGTGACTCGCCACACTCCTCACCGCCACGCTCACCACGGTGACTCGCCACACTCCTCACCACCACGACTCACCACACTCCTCACCGCCACGCTCACCACGGTGACTCACCACACTACTCACCACCACACTCCTCACCACCACCACACTCCTCACCGCCACGCTCACCACGGTGACTCACCACACTACTCACCACCACACTCCTCACCACCACCACACTCCTCACCGCCACGCTCACCACGGTGACTCACCACACTCCTCACCGCCACGCTCACCACCGTGACTCACCACACTCCTCACCGCCACGCTCACCACCGTGACTCGCCACACTCCTCACCACCACGCTCACCACGGTGACTCGCCACACTCCTCACCACCACGACTCACCACACTCCTCACCGCCACGCTCACCACGGTGACTCACCACACTACTCACCACCACACTCCTCACCACCACCACACTCCTCACCGCCACGCTCACCACGGTGACTCACCACACTACTCACCACCACACTCCTCACCACCACCACACTCCTCACCGCCACGCTCACCACGGTGACTCGCCACACTCCTCACCGCCACGCTCACCACGGTGACTCGCCACACTCTTCACCGCCACGCTCACCAGGCGCGTAGGTGCGTGCTAGCACCACCTTGTCCCAAAGGCCTGCTGAGGCTATGTGGGGGATCTTTGCCTTTGTACAGGGCCGAACTTCAAGGCGAGCCGTCTGCGGAGGGAGCGAGCGCTCTCCTTCGTGCCCATTAACCTGCACGTGCAGCGGCTGCGGGTGCAGGACGCACACACGCGGCGCGGTACGCTGACGATGCACACACGCAGAGACACGGGGACGACACGCACACGCGGAGACACGTGACGACACGCACACGCGGCGCGGTACGCTGACGATGCACACGCAGAGACACGTGACGACACGCACACGCAGAGACACGTGACGACACGCACACACAGAGACACGTGACGACACGCACACGCGGAGACACGTGACGACACGCACACGCGGCGTGGTACGCTGACGATGCACACGCAGAGACACGTGACGACACGCACACGCAGAGACACGTGACGACACGCACACGCGGCGCGGTACGCTGACGATGCACACGCAGAGACACGGGGATGACACGCACACGCGGCGTGGTACGCTGACGATGCACACGCAGAGACACGTGACGACACGCACACGCGGCGTGGTACGCTGACGATGCACACGCAGAGACACGTGACGACACGCACACGCGGCGTGGTACGCTGACGATGCACACGCAGAGACACGTGACGACACGCACACGCGGCGTGGTACGCTGACGATGCACACGCAGAGACACGTGACGACACGCACACGCGGCGTGGTACGCTGACGATGCACACGCAGAGACACGTGACGACACGCACACGCGGCATGGTACGCTGACGATGCACACGCGGAGACACGTGACGACACGCACACGCGGCGTGGTACGCTGACGATGCACACGCAGAGACACGTGACGACACGCACACGCAGAGACACGTGACGACACGCACACGCGGCGCGGTACGCTGACGATGCACACGCAGAGACACGGTGACGACACGTACACGCAGAGACATGGTGACGACACGCACACACAGAGACACGGTGACGACACGCACACGCAGAGACACGGGGACCACACGCAGAGACACGGTGACGACACGCACACGCAGAGACACGGTGACGACACGCAATCGCAGAGACACGTGACGACACGCACACGCAGAGACACGGTGACGACACGCACACACAGAGACACGGTTACGACACACAGAGACACGGGGACCACACGCACACACAGAGTCACGGTGACGACACGCACACGCAGAGACACGTGACGACACGCGCACGCAGAGACACGTGACGACACGCACACGCAGAGACACGTGACGACACGCACACACAGAGACACGTGACGACACGCACACACAGAGACACGTGACGATACGCACACACAGAGACACGTGACGACACGCGCACACAGAGACACGTGACAACACCCACACACAGAGACACGTGACGACACGCACACACAGAGACACGTGACGATACGCACACACAGAGACACGTGACGACACGCGCACACAGAGACACGGTGACGACACTCACACACAGAGACACGGTGACGACACGCACACACAGAGACACGTGACGACACTCACACACAGAGACACGGTGACGACACGCACACACAGAGACACGTGACGACACTCACACACAGAGACACGGTGACGACACGCAGCGTGGTACGCTGACGATGCATAAGCAGAGACACGGTGACGACACGCGTACACAGAGACACGGGGATGACACGCGGCGCGGTATGCTGACAACACGCACACACAGAGACACGTGACGACACGCACACGCAGAGACGTGACGACACGCACACACAGAGACACGGTGACGACACGCACACACAGAGACACGCTGACGACACGCACACGCAGAGACACAGTAACAACACACACACACAGAGACACGGTGACGACACGCACACGCAGAGACACGGGACAACACGCACACACAGAGACACGGTGACGACACGCACACGCAGAGACACGGTGACGACACGCACACGCAGAGACACGGTGCATGCAGAGACACGTGACGACACGCACACACACAGACACGGTGACGACACGCCCAGTCGCACGCCGCCAGTACGATGTCGCGGGAGACAAATGCGTCCGTGTGCGGTGCCCCCCAGACTGCACGTACGACGTGGTGACTGTGGGAGCCCCCGCGGCCCACGTCCTCGGATTCAAGGGCGGGGGGCTGCGGAGTCTGATGGCACGGGGGGCCCGCCTCGGGTGAGGAGGTTTACAGACCCCCCCCCCGATCATCACTCACCTCCACTCACCTCTACTCATGACTCACCTATCCCTCTAACTCTCTTTCTCTCACTCTCTTCCTCTCCATCATTCTCCCCTTGTCTCTCTGCCCCCCCTCTCTCTTCTCTCTCTTCTCTCTCTCCATCTCGTTTGCCCCCCGTTTCAGTTTTCAGTTTCATTCGTTTGGAATTACCCCGTGAGTTATTCGGCTCTTGATTCGGGTGCGACCGCAACAAACAGTAAAATGACAAGATACATTTACAATTTACCAGAGGTGGGACAAAGTCATTGTTATGCAAGTCCAAGTCGAGTCTGAAGTCATCAAATTCATGACTCGAGTCTGACTCGAGTCCAAGTCACATGACTTGAGTCCACACCTCAGAGGTGGGACAAAGTCATTGTTATGCAAGTCCAAGTCGAGTCTGAAGTCATCAAATTCATGACTCGAGTCTGACTCGAGTCCAAGTCACATGACTCGAGTCCACACCTCAGAGGTCGGACAAAGTCATTGTTATGCAAGTCCAAGTCGAGTCTGAAGTCATCAAATTCATGACTCGAGTCTGACTCGAGTCCAAGTCACATGACTCGAGTCCACACCTCTGCAATTTACTGTGCGCAAATTGAACCATCCCCTACAAAAACAATAAAATCTTCCAGGAAAAGCACCATTTGTTTATACTGCGTACGAAACCGTGAAAAAAAATCCAATTTTTTTGTTAGATCACAATAACAATCATAATGCAATTTAGATAAAAATGTTTAAGTCTAACTCTATACTACATGAAAAAATCGGGCTAAACTAAACGTTTCTAGAAATTACTAAAATAATGCTACAAAAACAATGTAACAGTGATCATAAGAAATGTGATTGGAAGTTAACAATAGCGACATGCATAACATATACTACTAAACCTAGCAGCCTTCGCTAGCTGCATGAGTCAAATCTATAATAGCAGGAGTAGCAATAGTAGTAGCAGCAGCAGCACACTATAATAATACGTATAACCCGTAAAAACAACGTTTTTCACTCTAAATCCTTTATATGCATGGCGGCTAGAGTCCTCTCGTCCTCTGGCTTGAGATGGCTGCCACCTATGGGTCAGATGATTGTCTGCCAGTATTAAGCAATTGGTAATTAAATACTTAATTTGTTTTCCCTAAATAGTGTAACATTTTGGAATTTTTTTTTTCACGAACATTAATTGTCTCGCACAACGAGTCTGTGTGCAAAATGTCAGCTCGATTGGATCACGGGAAGTGGGTTAAAAAACGACCGAAAGATTTGCACGGTCGTAAGCAAGCAAGCAAGCACGCAAGCAAGCAAGCGAACTTAATATAAAGGATTTAAAAATACATGATGATTTCTCGCATTGGTCATCCGTAGCGATAGATTTGATTTCAGGCCACTGGATAGCAGTGGCAGCTAGGGTTGTACGACTCCTCTAGAGCAATTTAAAGCTTTCGTGACTGCAGGGATTCATCTTCTTGGTTCTTTCGGTAAAGTCACGTAGAAGGGAAATAATAAAATAATAAAAATAAAACATAATAAAATAATTCTCACGACGTTTCGGCCACAACGCAAGCAGCCGTCTTCAGGTGAAGAACAGGTCATTCAGACTCTGTCTTCCCAACAGACCTGTTCTTCACCTGAAGACGGCTGCTTGCGTTGTGGCCGAAACGTCGTGAGAATTATTTTATTAAGTTTTATTTGTATTATTTTCCTTCTACGTGACTTTACCAAAAGAACCAAGAAGATGAATCCTCTAGAGCAGTTTTGAGTGATGGTCTTGTAGGTCGTGATCCAAGCTGTCTCTCACCCTGCCCCCCCCCCCCCCCCTCCCAGTGTGCTGGGTGAGCAGGACGAGATGAGGTCTCTGCTGCAGCGTCTCTGGAAGCTGAAGCTTCGGTTCGACTCGCACCACGCATCTCTCGCCGCCTCGCCGCTCACCACCGAAGAGCTCTCCGCTCACCTCGCTCACCTGGTTGACGCGGTGAGGGACGCGACGCCCGCCGCACTCGCGCTCACCCACTCACGCTCACCCACTTGCACTCGCACTCACCCACTCACGCTCACCCGGTCACCCATGGCCCGCTAGGCCCCGCGCCCGCTCGCAGCAAGGCTCACACTCACGCTCGCCCACTCGCATGCTCACCCACACGCTCGCCCACACGCTCGCCCACTCGCACTCATGCTCACCCACTCTCGCTCGCCCACTCACACGCTCACCCACACGCTCGCCCACACGCTCGCCCACTCTCACTCGCACTCACCCACTCGCACGCTCACTCACCCACTCACTCTCGCCCACTCACGCTCGCCCACTCGCACTCACCCACTCACACTCTCACTCACCCACTCACATTCTCACTCACCCACTCACTCTCACTCACCCACTCACACTCACCCACTCACACTCCCACCCCCCCCCCCGTCACACCCCCCTTCCTCCCGCACCCCCACAGACGCAGCAGCTGGTGTCGCTGTGTGAGCGGGAAGCGGTGTGTGAGGCCGTGTTGCGGCTGATGCGGAGCGAGGGCCAGGAGACGGGACTCGCTGCCACAACCGCCGCCACCGGCTCATCCACAAGCTCCACGCTGCGGGTGGCGTCACGCCGTGAATGGGTGAGTGGGTGTGTGAGCGAGCGTTCTTATCAGAGTGAGTGTGTGTGGGGAGCGGTGGTGCAGCGGTTAGCGCTACGCTGCGCCGCGAAGCCGGCGACCCGAGTTCCATTCCTGAGTGAGTGAGGAGTGAGTGTGTACTCACTCTGTGTGTGTACTCACTCTGTGTGTGTACTTACTCTGTGTGTGTACTCACTCTGTGTGTGTACTCACTGTGTGTGTACTGTGTGTGTACTCTGTGTGTGTACTCTGTGTACTCACTCTGTGTGTGTGTACTCACTCTGTGTGTGTACTCACTCTGTGTGTTTGTACTTAGAGGCTGTTGCTGAGCAGAGTGGAGGAGGAGCTGGAATTGCTGTTGCTGAGTTCAGGACCTGAACACGGTAAGGACGGTGTGTGTGGTGCAGCAGTGGTGCAGCAGTGGTGCAGCAGTGGAGCACGTTGTGGTGCAGCAGTGGGGCACGTTGTGGTGCTGCAGTGGGGCACGTTGTGGTGCTGCAGTGGGGCATGCTGTGGTGCAGTAGTGGGGCACGTTGTGGTGCAGCAGTGGTGCAGCAGTGGTGCAGCAGTGGAGCACGTTGTGGTGCTGCAGTGGGGCACGCTGTGGTGCTGCAGTGGGGCACGTTGTGGTGCTGCAGTGGGGCACGTTGTGGTGCTGCAGTGGGGCATGCTGTGGTGCAGTAGTGGGGCACGTTGTGGTGCAGCAGTGGGGCACGTTGTGGTGCAGCAGTGGGCACGCTGCGCATCGAACCCGTCAACATCTGAGAGAGACACAGGTGGCCAGGCGTGGCGGTGCGGGCCACGTCACCCCCTCGTGTTGCCGTGCCGGCCTTGATCGGGCGCTGCTACCAGCACTTGGCCCGTACAGCCTGTGTGGGCTACATGGGGGGTCTTTGTCTTGTGTGTCTGCGGGTGCAGACCTGCGTACGGGGAGCGGTGGTGCAGCGGTTAGCGCCACGCTGCGCCACGAACCCGGCGAACCCCGGTTCGATTCCCGCTCACGGCCAACACCGGTGACGATTATCTAGACCGGTCCTGGGCCTCCCTTTAGGTTGACTCGGCCTCAAATGAGTACCTGGTGCGGTGTGTAGTAAACATCGCCACTGGGGAGACAAAGGCGGCCGGGCGTGGTGCTGGCCACCCACCCCCTCGTGTGCCGTGCCGGCCTTCATAGGTGCTCGCTAACAGCACTTGCCCCGACAGTCTGGTTACAGGCTACGTGGGGGATCTTTGTCTTTGCAGACCTGCTTGCACGCGTGTCGCTGCTGGCGCCCCCGCTGTGGAGCGCCGCGTGCGATGCGCTGCAGGGCCCTGCTGGCGATCGCCCTGGAGAGCGAAGCCCTGCTGGGGCTCGTCGCTGAGCCACCGGCGGGACGTCGTCGATTCCCACACCGTGAACCACCCGCCACCACCACCCCCCACCACCGCTCCGCACACCCCCACCCCCACCGCTCACCGCCACCACCACCCCACACCACCGCCACCCCACCGCCACCCCACCACCCCACCCGATCACCGCACCCACCGCCCCCACCCACCCACCGCTCACCGCCACCACCCCCACCAGCTCACCGCCACCCACCGCCACCCCACCACCCCACCGCTCACGCCACCCACCACCCCCACCACCCCACCGCTCACCGCCACCCACCGCCACCCCACCACCCCACCGCTCACCGCCACCCACCGCCCCCACAACCCCACCGCTCACCGCCACCCACCACCCCCACCACCCCACCGCTCACCGCCACCCACCACCCCCCACCACCCCACCGCTCACCGCCACCCACCACCCCCACCACCCCACCGCTCACCGCCACCCACCCCCCACCACCCCACCGCTCACCGCCACCCACCACCCCACCGCTCACCGCCACCCACCACCCCACCGCTCACCGCCACCCACCACCCCCCACCACCCCACCGCTCACCGCCACCCACCACCCCACCGCTCACCGCCACCCACCACCCCACCGCTCACCGCCACACCACCACCCACCGCTCACGCCACCCACCACCCCACCGCTCACCGCCACCCACCACCCCACCGCTCACCGCCACCCACCACCCCCACCACCCCACCGCTCACCGCCACCCACCACCCACCGCTCACCGCCACCCACCACCCCACCGCTCACCGCCACCACCCCACCGCTCACCGCCACCCACCACCCCCCCACCACCCACCGCTCACCGCCACCCACCACCCCACCGCTCACGCCACCCACACCCCCACCACCCCACCGCTCACCGCCACCCACCACCCCACCGCTCACCGCCACCCACCACCCCCCACCACCCCACGCTCACCGCCACCCACCACCCCACCGCTCACCGCCACCCACCACCCCCCACCACCCCACCGCTCACCGCCACCCACCACCCCACCGCTCACCGCCACCCACCACCCCACCGCTCACCGCCACCCACCACCCCCACCGCTCACCGCCACCCACCACCCCCCACCACCCCACCGCTCACCGCCACCCACCACCCCACCGCTCACCGCCACCCACCACCCCACCGCTCACCGCCACCCACCACCCCCCACCACCCCACCGCTCACCGCCACCCACCACCCCACCGCTCCACCGCCACCCACCACCCCCACCACCCCACCGCTCACCGCCACCCACCACCCCCCACCACCCCACCGCTCACCGCCACCCACCACCCCCCCACCCCGCTCACTGCCACCCACCACCCCCCACCCCGCTCACTGCCACCCACCACCCCCCCCCACCGCTCACCGCCACCCTCCCCCCCCCCCCGCTCACCGCCACCCACCACCCCGCTCACCACTACCCACCCACCCCCATCCCGCTCACTGCCACCCACCACCCCCCACCCCGCTCACCGCCACCCACCACCCCCCCCCACCGCTCACCGCCACCCTCCCCCCCCCCCCCCGCTCACCGCCACCCACCACCACCGACACCGACACCCCCCCCCTCACAGCCACCTTTGTCTCCCTGCCTCATGAGCATCACGGTGGCTAGGAGATGTTAACTACCTCGCCTGGTATGCAGGAGGTCGAGGGTTCGATCCCCTCTTCACTGGCTACGTGATCACCCACCCCCCTCTCACCTGCCATCTTTGTATCATCACCCTCATCACTGGCTTCGCGACCCCAACCCTCGTCTCTCCCTGATCGCTGGCTTCATGACTCCCCCCCCCCACCTCCGTCTTTGTCTCCCTCCCCAGCTGTCGGCGCTGGTGGTGGGCTGCGTGCTGCGCCTGCGTGCGGGTCTCGGCGACGCGGCGTTCCTGCAGCAGCTGCAGCACGCGGGCCTCCTCGTGTGCTTCGAGAGCCTCCTGAGCACCTACGGTGAGTACCCACCTATCCTCAAACTCTGTGCAAGGCCCCACCCCTCCTGAGCACCTACGGTGAGTACACACCTATTCTCAAACTCTGTGCAAGGCCCCACCAAGATACTGTGTTACGGGAGCTCTTGTTTTCGGGAGCGGCCTGGCGATCACGAATGACGGCTCGGCAAAGTGTTACGTGGACATTTGTAGCAGCAGCAGCCAAATACTATGAAAGCGGTGACGTTGACTCTGAACGTAGAGGGGAAAAACTGGAGGACTCGGAGAAAAATCCACACCACCACGGAGAGAGAGGGAGAGACACGCAAACTCCAAATATACAGCAGGCATCAGGGTCTGGATCGAACCCACGACCTCCTGCATACCAGGCGAGGTAGTTAACATCTCACCACGGGGAGAGCGAGAGAGACACGCAAACTCCAAATATACAGCAGGCGTCAGGGTCTGGATCGAACCCACGACCTCCTGCATACCAGGCGAGGTAGTGTTATCTTGCGGTACCCCGTCACACCAGGTGCCCGAGAATGTTGTGCACCCTGCAGCTCGCTAACGCTTTTGCCAGACGTCCCGTAGAGTAGCGAGTCGCACTAATCGAGCCTTGCTGATACCGTGCTAGTTGTCTCTCTCTGTCTGTCTCTTGCCGTCTCTCTCCGTGCGTAGGGGATGAGCAGGCGATGCTGGAGGACATGGCAGTGTCCGTGATGGACCTGTCTCACCGCGTCTCCCTGCGTCTCACCCTGTCGCCTCCCGGCTCCGAGGGGGACAGCCTGCTGCCGTCTCTGACAGAGGACGGGTAACTCGCACGCGCACGCAGTACAAAGATAAAGATCCCCCGCGTAGCCTCAACAGACTGTTAGGGCAAGTGCTGTTAGCGAGCAGCACCGATGAAAGCCGGAACGGTGCACAAGGGGGTGGGTGGCCAGCACCGCGCCCGGCCGCCTTTGTCTCCCCAGTGGCGATATTAACACGCCGCACCGGCTACTCATTTGAGGCTGAGTCGACCTAGGTGAGGCCCAGCACCGGTTCAGATAATCGTCACGGGTGTTGACGGCTGTGAGTGGGAATCGAACTCGGGTCGCCGGGTTCGTAGCGCAGCGTAGCGCTGACCCCCTGCTCCATCGCTGCCCTTGCACACAGTACATGCGCGCACGAACACGCGGTACACACGCGGTACACACGCAGTACACACAGTACACACGCAGTACACACAGTACATGCGCGCACGAACACGCGGTACACACGCGGTACACACGCAGTACACACAGTACACACGCAGTACACACAGTACATGCGCGCACGAACACGCGGCAGACACGCGGTAAACACGGCACACACGCAGCACAAATGCATTACACACGCGGTACACACGCAGTACACACGCGGTACACACGCAGTACACAAGCGGTACACACGCAGTACACATACAGCACACGCAGTACACACGCGGTACACACGCAGTACACACGCGGCACACACGCAGTACACACGCGGCACACACGCGGTACACACGCAGTACACACGCGGCACACGCAGTACACGCAGCACACACACAGCACACACACACAGCACACACACAGCACACGCAGCACACACACACAGCACACACACGCAGCACACACACAGCACACAGCACACGCAGCACACACACACAGCACACACACACAGCACACACACACAGCACACACACGCAGCACACACACGCAGCACACATGCAGCACACTCGCAGCACACGCGCAGCACACACGCGGCGATACTCTCATCACGCGGCGCGTGCGGTGTGCGCAGGGAGGGCTGCGTGGTGAGCGTCCCTCTGCCCGTGGCGATGTTCCGCACGCTGCCCGAGCCCCTGAGGGACGGGGCCCTCGTCCCCGTCAGCAGCGCACTCTTCAGCATCGGCATCAACGAGCAGCAGACGCTTGTCGAAAGGCGAGTCGCTCGCTCGCTCCATCACGTCGCTCCACCACCTCGCTCCACCACCCACCACCTCGCTCCACCACCTCGCTCCACCACCCACCACCTCGCTCCATCACCTCGCTCCACCACCCACCACCTCGCTCCACCACCTCGCTCCACCACCCACCACCTCGCTCCACCACCCACCACCTCACTCCACCACGTCGCTTACCACCCACCACCTCGCTCCACCACCTTGCTCGCTCGCTCCACCACCTCGCTCGCTCCACCACCTCGCTCCCCACCAACCACGTCGCTCCCTACCCACCACCTCGCTCCCCACCCACCACCTCGACCCCCACCCACCACCTCGCTCCCCACCCACCAACTCGACCCCCACCCACCACCTGTGTGTGTGTGTCTCTGTGTGTGTCTCTGTGTGTGTGTGTCTCTGTGTGTGTGTGAGTGTCTCTGTGTGTGTGCGTGCCTCTGTGTGTGTGAGTGTCTCTGTGTGTGTCTCTGTGTGTGTGTGTCTCTGTGTGTGTGTGAGTGTCTCTGTGTGTGTGCGTGCCTCTGTGTGTGTGAGTGTCTCTGTGTGTGTGCGTGTCTCTGTGTGTGTGCGTGCCTCTGTGTGTGTGAGTGTCTCTGTGTGTGCGGTGTCTCTGTGTGAGTGTCTCTGTGTGTGTCTCTGTGTGTGTGTGTCTCTGTGTGTGCGATGTCTCTGTGTGTGAGTGTCTCTGTGTGTGAGTGTCTCTGTGTGTGCGATGTCTCTGTGTGTGCGGTGTCTCTGTGTGAGTGTGTCTCTGTGTGTGAGTGTCTCTGTGTGCGTGTGTCTCTGTGTGTGTGTGTCTCTGTGTGTGCGTGTCTCTGTGGGGAGCGGTAGTGTAGCGGTTAGCGCGCTGCGCTATGAACCTGGCGACCCGGGTTCGATTCCCGCTCACGGCTAACACCAGTGACGATTATCTGAACCGGTCCTGGGCCTCCCCTAGGTCGACTCAGCCTTAAATGAGTACCTGGTGTGGTGTGTAAACATCGCCACTAGGGAGACAAAGGCGGTCGGGCGTGGTGCTGGCCACCCACCCCCTCGTGTACCGTTCCGGCCTTCATAGGTGCTCGCTAACAGCACTTGCCCCTACAGTCTGTTCAGGCTATACGGGGGATCTTTGTCTTTGTCTTTGTGTCTCTGTGTGTGCGATGTCTCTGTGTGTGTGTGTCTCTGTATGTGCGATGTCTCTGTGTGTGCGGTGTCTCTGTGTGAGTGTGTCTCTGTGTGTGAGTTTCTCTGTGTGAGTGTCTCTGTGTGTGTGGTGTCTCTGTGTGTGTGGTGTCTCTGTGTGTGTGGTGTCTCAGCATGTGATGTCTCTGTGTCTCAGTGTCTCCATGTCTCTGCACGTGGTGTCTGTGCGTGTCTCATGTCTCCGTGTCTCCGTGTCTCCGCCTGTAGGTTTCACGGGGACACGTCTCTGCAGGAGCAGCTGTGTGTTGAGAGTTGTGAGCGTCTGCGTGCCTACCACAAGCTTGCGTGCGCCTACCTGCCCTCCCGTGAGTAGCTCCCTCGTACCTGCACGCGTGTGAGCGTGTGTACCTGTGCGCGTGTGTGTGTACCTGTGCGCGTGCGTGTGTGTGTGCGTGTATGGCCGGGCGTGGTGCTGGCCACCCATTGTCCTTGTGCGCCGTGCCGGCCTTCATAGGTGCTCGCTAACAGCACTTGCCCCAACAGTCTGTTCAGGCTATACGGGGTATCTTTGTCTGTGTGTGTGGGGAGCGGTGGTGTAGCGGTTAGCGCTACGATCCCGGTGACGTGGGTTCGATTCCCGCTCACGGCCAACACCAGTGACGATTATATGAACCGGTCCTGGGCCTCCCCTTGGTTGACTCAGCCTCAAATGAGTACCCGGTGCGGTGTGTAGTAAACATCGCCACTGGGGAGACAAAGGCGGCCGGGCGTGGTGCTGGCCTCCCACCCCCTCGTTTGCCGTGCCGGCCTTCATATGTGCTCGCTAACAGCACTTGCCCCAACAGTCTGTTCAGGCTATACAGGGTATCTTTGTTTTTTCTTCGTGTGTGTCTGCACCTGGGGAGCGGTAACGCAGCGGTTACCGCGCCGTTCACTACGAACCCGGCGACCCGAATTCTATTCCCGCTCGCGGCCAACACCGGTGACAATTACCCGTCCCGGTCGCGGGCTTGCCTGGGCACGGCAAAAGTCGGCGTGGATGTTCATAGCAGCCAAATAATTCTCAAACGCGCGACGTCGATTCTAAATGTGGAGGTCAAAAACTGGAGGATGCGGAGACAAATCCATGCGACCACGGGGAGAGAGAGAGACACGCAAACTCCAAATATACAGCAGCAGGCATCGTCAGGGTCGGGATCGAACCTACGACCTCCTGTAGACCAGGCGAGGTAGTTAACATCTCACCACGGGGAGAGAGACACGCAAACTCCAAATATACAGCAGCAGGCGTCTGGGTCGGGATCGAACCCACGACCTCCTGTAGACCAGGCGAGGTAGTCAACATCTCACCACGGGGAGAGAGACACGCAAACTCTAAATATACAGCAGCAGGCGTCAGGGTCGGGATCGAACCCACGACCTCACCACGCCACCCACGTCGCACGCTCCCCAACCGGTCCGTCAAGGCTACGCGCGTGGGGGTCGGGGGGTGGGGGGGTGTGGACTTTGTCTGTGCAGCAGAGCCGCGGGCGACGCTCCCCCCCTGGCTGCTGGCGCCCCCTCCCGGAGCTGCTGGAGGAGCTCGCCAAGTCGGCCGCCTCTCGGCGCAACAAGAACGTCCACGTCCTGCAGGCGGCCGCACAGGTGAGGGCTGCCCCTTGGACTCCCCCCCCCCCCCCCCCCCGCCACCTGCCCCTCACCTCACCCCTCACCTCATCCCTCACCTCACCCTCACCTCACCCTCACCTCACCCCTTCACCTCACCCCCTCACCTCAACCTCACCTCACCTCACTACACCACCTCACCCCCCCTCACCTCACCCCTCACCTCACCCTCACCTCACCCTTCACCTCACCCCTCACCTCACCCTCCTCACCCTCACCCCTCACCTCACCCTCACCCCCCTCACCTCACCCCCTCACCCATCACCTCACCCCTCACCTCACCCCCACCTCACCCTCACCCCTCACCCCCTCACCCTCACCTCACCCCTCCTCACCTCACCCCTCACCTCCCCCCTCCCCCCCCCTCACCTGCCCCCCCCCGTCACCCCACACCGGCGCTCGCTGCCCCGCGCCCGCCCTCGATGCCGCACCTGCGATGAGCACGGTTGGCCTACGCACGGCGCGAGAGAAGTTCGACGCACAAACTTGCCCCTCGCCATGCACTCACCTCGCCACCAATCAAGCTTATCGGAGGTGCGCGCGTGTGCGTCCGTGTGTGTGTGTGCGCGTGCGTGTGTACGTGCGTGTGCACGTGCGTGTGCACGTGCGTGTGTACCTGCGTGTGCACATGCGTGTGTGCGTGCGTGTGCACGTACAGGTGTGCCAGCGTCTGCGTGGCGTGCGCGTGACGAGCTGCAAGAGCGCCAAGGACCGCACGGCCATGTCGGTGACACTGGAGCAGTGCGCCCTGCTCAGGGACCGCCACGGCCTCCCGGCCTCCGCCTTCTCTGCGGCCCTCAACTGCATGCGCAGGTGGGCAGTGCGGGGCGAGGGTGACTTGTTGTGGCTATAACAACTCTTACACTTCGATTTAAAGCTTCTTTCGTGACTGCAAGGATTCATCTTCTTGGTTCTTTCGGTAAAGTCACGTAGAAGACCAGAGGACGCTAAAGGGCTTTTTGGCTTCCTCTGGTCTGGACCAATCAATTTCAAAGACAATGCATATATTATCAGAGTGTGTTTTTTGTTTGCATTCTGCCCACAAGCATTGTGGTTAATGCAGACACGATTCCTTGTGAAAGATTTCAGTTTGGTGTTTTAACATCCTAACACCTAAATTTCGATTTAAAGCTTCTTACGTGACTGCAGGGATTCATCTTGTTGGTTCTTTCAGGTAAAGTCATCACGTAGAATGGAAATAATAAAATAATAAAATAAAACATAATACAATAATTCTCACGGCTACTTGCGTTGGGCCGAAACGTCGTGAGAATTATTTTATTATGTTTATTTTATTATTTTATTATTTCCATTCTACGTGACTTTACCGAAAGAACCAAGAAGATGAACTCTTAAACTCTCTTGCTAGTTTACGAGGCGAAGCCCACTGAGATGTTTAGCTCTTTGCAGAAGTGACCTGGCCACAAATGATGGCGAAGTGGCTCATCGTCAGCGTGGATGTTCGCAGCAGCCAAATAATTCTCAAACACGTTGACGTCGATTCTAAATGTGGAGGGCAAAAACTGGAGGACGCGGAGACAAATCCACGCGACCGCGGAGAGAGAGAGAGAGAGAGACACGCACACTCTCTGTATACAGCAGCAGGCGTCAGGGTCGGGATCGAACCCACGACCTCCTGTAGACCAGCGGGTAGTTAACATCTCACCACGGAGAGAGAGAGAGACACACAAACTCCAAATATACAGCAGGCATCGTCGGGGTTTAGATCGAACCCACGACCTCCTGTAGACCAGGCGAGGTAGTCAACATCTCACCACGGGGAGAGAGAGAGAACACGCAACCAACTCCAAATATACAGCAGGCATCTGCGGGGTTTAGATCGAACCCACGACCTCCTGTAGACCAGACATTTCAGGCTGTAGTTAACATTTCACCGGGGGGGTGAGTGCGCCGTTGCCGTGCCGGCCTCCGCAGGTGCCGCTCACTACGACACTCCTGTTGATGGCTATGCTGGGGGGTGGGGGGGGGGGGACGGGTTGCACCTTTGTCTTTGGCCAGTGAGGGCTGCCGGCTGGAGAACGCTGCCAAGAACGTGGGCTGTCGACGCTACGCGTTCCACACGCTGCAGCTCGCCACCTTCCCGCGCTTCTACCGGCCACCCGGGGGACGTACGGAAGGTGGACCACGTGAAGCGGTGGCGGTGGTGGCGGTGTGGTGGTGGCGGTGGTCGGTGGTGGGGGGGGGGTGAGAGCCAGCAGGCGACCGCCATGCGGCAGTGGGACGGACACGGCACGTTGCTATCGTGCACGCCCTGTCCAGCTCTGCGTTGTCGTCTCCTGTGGAAGGGAACGTTTCAGGGGCCGAGGCAAGGCCACATCCACCCACCCCTGTGCAGGTCTTTGTTGTTGATTCCTGTGGAAGGGAACGTTTCAGAGGCATGACAAGGCCACATCCACCCACTCCTGTCCAGGTCTTTGTTGTCGACTTCTGTGGAAGGGAACGTTTCATATCCCAGCCCATTGCAAGGCCACAACCACACACTCCTGTCCAGTTCTTTGTTGTCGCCTTCTGTGTAAGGGAACTTTCAGAGGCCATGGCAAGGCCACAACCCTCCCTGTCCAGGTCTTTGTTGTTGATTCCTGTGGAAGGGAACGTTTCAGAGGCCAGCCCATGGCAAGGCCACCCCCCCCCTTTCACCCCCCCCCCCCCGCCCGCTGGGTGGGTGTTGGCCGCTAAGGGAGCTGGAGAGATGATTGCCCCGTGAGTGATTTGCGGGTGACGTGATTGCCGTGTTGTGTCGAACGAGGAGCAATCGTCACAGGGTGTGCCTAATCCTCACAATCTCTCACCCTCACTACCCCTCACTAATCCTCACTAACTCTACCCACACTAACTCTCACCCTCACTAACTCTAACCCTCACTACCCCTCACTAATCCTCACTAACTCTACCCCACACTAACTCTCACCCACACTAACTCTCACCCTCACTACTCTAACCCTCACTACCCCTCACTAATCCTCACTAACTCTACCCCACACTAACTCTCACCCACACTAACTCTCACCCTCACTAACTCTAACCCTCACTACCCCTCACTAATCCTCACTAACTCTACCCCATACACACCTAACCCTCACTAACTCTCACCCTCACTAACTCTCACCCTCACTAACTCTTACCCTCACTAACTCTACCCCACACTAACTCTCACCCTCACTAATTCTACCCCATACACCTAACCCTCACTAACTCTCACCCTCACTAACTCTCACCCACACTAACTCTCACCCTCACTAATTCTACCCCATACACCTAACCCTCACTAACTCTCACCCTCACTAACTCTCACCCACACTAACTCTCACCCTCACTAATTCTACCCCATACACCTAACCCTCACTAACTCTTACCCACACTAACTCTCACCCACACTAACTCTCACCCTCACTAACTCTACCCCTCACTAACTCTACCCCTACCCCTAACCCTCACTAACTCTCACCCACACTAACTCTCACCCTCACTAACTCTACCCCACTAACTCTACCCCTACCCCTAACCCTCACTAACTCTCACCCACACTAACTCTCACCCTCACTAACTCTCACCCACACTAACTCTCACCCTCACTAACTCTACCCCTCACTAACTCTACCCCTACCCCAACCCTCACTAACTCTCACCCACACTAACTCTCACCCACACTAACTCTCACCCTCACTAACTCTTACCCACACTAACTCTCACCCACACTAACTCTCACCCTCACTAACTCTACCCCTCACTAACTCTACCCCTACCCCTAACCCTCACTAACTCTCACCCACACTAACTCTCACCCTCACTAACTCTCACCCTCACTAACCCTCTCTAACTCTCACTAACTCTACACTAACCCTCACTACCCCTAACCCTCACTAACCCTAACCCTCACTACCCTAACCCTCACTAACCCTACCACTCACTACTCTCACCCTCACTAACCCTACCACTAACCCTCACTAACTCTACCCCTCACCCTCACTACCCCTAACCCTCACTAACCCTAACCCTCACTAACCCTCACTAACCCTACCCCTCACCCTCACTACCCCTAACCCTCACTAACTCTAACCCTCACTACTCTACCACTAACTAACTCTCACCCTCACTAACCCTACCACTAACCCTCATTAACCTACTACTACCCTACCCCTAACCCTCACTAACTCTACCACTCACTAACTCTCACCCTCACTAACACTACCACTAACCCTCACTAACTCTACCACTACCCTTAACCCACACTAACCCTAACCCTCACTAACCCTCACTACCCCTAACCCTCACTACCCCTAACCCTCACTAATTCTACCCACTAACTCTACCACTCACTAACTCTCACCCTCACCCTCACTACCCCTAACCCTCACTAACTCTACCCCTAACCCTCACTACCCCTAACCCTCACTAACTCTACCCCTCACTAACTCTACCTCACTAACTCTCACCCTCACCCTCACTACCCCTAACCCTCACTAACTCTACCCCTCACCCTCACTACCCCTAACCCTCACTGACTCTACCACTAACCCTGACCCACAATAACCCTACCTATAACCCTATCACTCACCCTGACCCACACTAACCCTTAACCTACCCCTACCCACACTAACTCTTCACCTAAACGTTACCCTTACTAACCCTAACTAATCACGAAACCTAAATCCGACCGCTGACACACGCTACCCCACTGCTCGTATTAACGCTCAATCTACACAACCCTGACCCACACCACCCCACCCCACCCAACTTATCCAGGATCCAGCCCTATTCTATCTCTACCCTACTGCACACCAACTCCACCTCGAACCCCCCCCTACCCCTACCCCACACTACCCCCACCCCACACTACTCCACCATACCCCTACCCCACACTACCCCCAACCCTACCCCTATCCCACCCCACACTACCCCACCATACCCCTACCCCACACTACCCCCACCCCACACTACCCCCAACCCTACCCCCAACCCTACCCCTACCCCCACCCCACACTACCCCCAACCCTACCCCTACCCCACCATACCCCTACCCCACACTACCCCCAACCCCACACTACCCCCACCCCACACTACCCCCAACCCTACCCCTACCCTATCCCACACTACCCCCAACCCTACCCCACCATACCCCTACCCCACACTACCCCCCCCACCCACCCCTACCCCTACCCCACACTACTCCACCATACCCCTACCCCACACTACTCCACCATACCCCTACCCCACACTACTCCACCATACCCCTACCCCACACTACCCCCAACCCTACCCCTACCCCACCCTACCCCTACCCCACACTACCCCCACCATACCCCTACCCACACTACCCCCAACCCTACCCCTACCCCACCCTACCCCTACCCCCCACTACCCCCAACCCTACCCCTACCCCACCCCACACTACCCCACCATACCCCTACCCCACACTACCCCCAACCCTACCCCTACCCCACCCTACCCCTACCCCACACTACCCCACCATACCCCTACCCCACACTACCCCCACCCTACCCCTACCCCACCCTACCCCTACCCCACACTACCCCCCATACCCCTACCCCACACTACCCCCAACCCTACCCCTACCCCACCCTACCCCTACCCCACCTACCCACCCTACCCCTATCCCACCCCACACTACCCCACCCTACCCCTACCCCACTACCCCCAACCCTACCCCTACCCCACCCCACACTACCCCACCCTACCCTACCCCACACTACCCCACCCTACCCCTATCCCACCCCACACTACCCCACCCTACCCCTACCCCACACTACCCCCAACCCTACCCCTACCCCACCCTACCCCTACCACCCCACTACCCCCAACCCTACCCCCTACCCCTACCCCACCCTACCCCTACCCCACACTACCCCACCCTACCCCTAACCCTACCCAATTCCACCTCTAACCCTACCCCACAGTACGCCACCATAACCCTAACCCTACCCAACTCTACCCTACACTAACCCCACACTACACTACTCGACCCTACCTCTAACCCTACCCAACACTACCCCACCCTACTCCTACCCCTACTCCACACTACCGCACACTACCCCACCCTACCCCACCCTACTCCTACCCCTACTCCACACTACCCCCTACCCCCCATACCCTAACCCTACCGCACACTACCCCACCCTACCCCTACCCCCACTACCCCACCCTACCCCACCCTACCCCTACCCCCACACTACCCTAACCCTACCCCACACTATACCACCCTACCCCACCCTACCCTTACCCCACCCTACCCTTACCCACCCTACCCTTACCCCACCTACCCTACCCTACCCCTCACACAGGCTCGGCGTTCACTCTGATTTGCTTTTGTAATTACCACCGGACGTCATCATCATGATCTCAATAAACACGTGAACCAACCCAGACTCTCCCGCCTCTCTCCCATACCCACCCCTGCACTCTCCTGTCAACAATAACAGTTTGTTCTTTTTCGGGAAATACATTTCCATTTTACACATCTCATCAGCCACACTGACGGCCCCTTCCCTCCTGCCCAGTGCATCGCTATCGGCAGCTCGTGTGAGCCGTCACTCACTCGCACGTTTGAGCTCATCGCGGTACAAACACAAACTCCGGGACCGGCTTCCACTCTCTGCAGTCACATCAGCAGTCCGGGGGGAGGTGAAAGGTTGGGGGATAGCGATGAGCGTCCACTGATAGATTGTTGCATGGGTGTGTGGGTGGATGGATTGGCTGTTGGTGGATGGATCGGTGGGTGGGTGGATGGATGGATTGGTGGGTGGGTGGATTGGTGGGTGGATGGATTGGTGGTGTGGGTGGATTGGTGGGTGGTGGATGCATTGGCTGTTGGGTGGATGGATCGGTAGGTGGGTGGATGGATTGGTGGTGTGGATGGGTGGGTGAATGGATCGGTGGGTGGGTGAATGGATCGGTGGGTGGGTGGATGGATTGGTGGGTTGATGCATTGGCGGTTGGGTGGATGGATCGGTGGTGGGTGGGTGGATTGGTGGGTGGGTGGATGGATGGGTGGGTGGATCGGTGGGTGGGTGAATGGATTGGTGGGTGGGTGGATGGATGGGTGTGTGGGTGGGGTTGTGGTGGGTGGATGCATTGGTGGTGGGTGAATGGATCAGTGGGTGGGTGGATGGATTGGTGGGTGGACGCATTGGCGGTTAGGTGAATGGATCGGTGGGTGGATGCATTGGCGGTTGGGTGGATGGATCGGTAGGTGGGTGGATGGATTGGTGGGTGAGTGGTAAAATCCGTGGGTGGATGGATGGGTGGTGGGTGGATCGGTGGGTGGGTGGATGGATGGGTGTGTGGGTGGATGGGTTGGTGGGTGGATGCATTGGTGGTTGGGTGAATGGATCAGTGGGTGGGTGAATGGATCAGTGGGTGGGTGGATGGATTGGTGGGTGGACGCATTGGCGGTTGGGTGGGTGGATTGGTGGGTGGATGCATTGGCGGTTGGGTGGATGGATCGGTAGGTGGGTGGATGGATTGGTGGGTGAGTGGTAAAATCCGTGGGTGGATGGATGGGTGGTGGGTGGATCGGTGGGTGGGTGGATGGATGGGTGTGGTGGGTGGATGGGTTGGTGGGTGGATGCATTGGTGGTTGGGTGAATGGATCAGTGGGTGGGTGAATGGATCAGTGGGTGGGTGGATGGATTGGTGGGTGGACGCATTGGCGGTTGGGTGGGTGGATCGGTAGGTGGGTGGATGGATTGGTGGGTGATGCATTGGCGGTTGGGTGAATGGATCGGTGGGTGGGTGGATTGGTGGGTGGATGCATT